TTAAGTAAAAGGCAGGTTTTAGAACTATACTGGCATTTATTAAGGTTAAGTAATTAATAAATATCAGCCCATGAACCTAGGGAATTTTTGTAATCATATAGCATCTCATAAGTAGGACTTGAAGAACAAGGTGCATAAGTGCAGTTTTTGCCAGTTCCAGAAATACATGTTTGAAGTTTCGAAATTACATGGATTAGATATGGCAGGAAAAAAGTAACTTTTTGGAATTAACTTAACTTCAACAAAAACTGGAATTTGAGAGCGAATTTTTTACAGAATAATAAGGCTAGTTTTACTTGAAATCGTTTATACCTCATTTTTTATTTAAAAGCTGCACTCATATGCGCCTTATCCTCCAAGCCCCTCATATGCAGTTTCAGCCAATTTCTCCTGAATAATTACCTACCATGTATAAGTGTTCCTCCTTCTCCTTTCCTCTGTTCTTTTCTTCTTTCCCTTTCTTCTTCGGAAGAATTTCTTCCCCTTTTTTCTCCCTCTTTTTTGGTGAACGTGGCGGGATCAAAGGGGGGGGGGCGCAACCCCCTACCCCCCCTCTCGCCTCTGGATCTACCTTTGCCCAAAGCAGAGTATGCATAAAACTTCCCATCTAGAACACACTGTGCAAGGAATGTAGTTTGACCCAAAAATTTTCATGTGTGACCGACTGTTAAATAAAGCATTTGTCCAAAATGTTTTTGCTCGTCACCTAGCGTGCGACAGTCAGTCCAGAATATCGCCGTTGGTGACCCCTCGCGTGTAGGACGAAAAACTTGTCCAAAATATCTCCATCCTCGACCGACTGCGCGATGGACAGTTTGTCCAATAACTTTATTTCCTTGAGCCACTGTGCGACGAGGTACTCGACCCAATCTCTCTGCCTGAGGCTCATCAGACCCACTGTGCGACTCATGTGCGACTGCGTCGCCTGTTGATGAGGTACCAACGTTTTTAATCTCACCTTTCTAGAATGGCAGCCGATTTTGTCCCTACGAGAATGCGATGTTGTGTTTTTTGGCTTCTATTTTTTTTAGAATCTACTACCACCTATCGACAGATTGATTCGGTTTAGGACGAGGTAAAAAGGGCAAAAGAAAACAGTAAGGTGGTGTGGATAGGAATAAAATAAAATGTGGTGTTGCTTATTTTTAGGTAGGTCATTTAGGTGATTCGTCGCGGTTTCTAGCTTGGTCGAACTGGCGTGCGGTGTATCTGTATCGCATTAAAAGTGCTTACGGCTAAAACCTCGGCAGATCTTGAATTTTTAGCAGCCCCTGCGTATGAGCCGAAACAATCTCTCTACTTAAAGCCGAAGGTTTTCAAAATTCAGAGAAATGAAAGAAGGGTCATTTTTGGGTAAAAAAAGAAGAAGAAAAGAAAATACCAAAATACCCTCGCATGTTAAACGGAAATCGAGGATTTGGCGATTAAGCATCCCGGGCTGGGAGGGGGACGAGGGGGGAGAAGACCCTTTTTTTCTCCATGGGAGAAGACTTCCATCTCGGGGGCGCTGACCGGCCCCCCATTTCCGGTTTCTTTTCCCGCTGTATGACGTCATCAAGTACTCCCCTACGACCCCTCATCATGAGACCTCCACCATTTCTGACCATTTCCCCTTCCATTCCCTAGAAGTTTTTAGCGCCATTTCCGACTTTTAGTCCACTTGTAATCAGTTGACCAATAACTTAGACTTCCTCCCATCAATTGCTTCTTTTCAATTATTACAGTCCAGATTTGTATTATGCATTATCTATGTTAGGTGTGAAAAAAATTTCTCAGATCAGAAATGGCACTACTTTTATCGTTTCTTCAAAATTTCCCCTTCCTTGCTGCTGATTGGTGGAACGTGTGGAGAGTGGGGGACAATCTACAGTGGGGTGGGAGAAAAGGACGCCACCGTGACCGTGAATCCGTTAGTGTTTCAATCCGGTTTCGTTCCAAGAATTTCTAGCTTTCTTACATCTCTCCATTTTTTAACGTGAAGCATTGAGCAAATTTTACACCTTGACGTCATCATCAAATTGACCTTTGTCATCCTTGTGGACTTTCATAACCAACCTCTTTGTTGAAGCGAAGGTAAATATCAGATTTCACTTCCCACCGCTGGACGCTTCGCTCTTTTGCGGGATTGTTTTGTTTGTGTCATTTGCATGTCCATGTCCGAGGAAGGTTTTAGTTTAGAGACGTTTTTGTCTTCCTTTCTTCATCCTTACGTGTACCTACCAGCTGCCGCCCTCGTCGGGTACTCCGCAATCAGGACACAAAGGTACAATATGCTAGGTTAACTTCAACTTCGTCTGTTTATTTGGTCGGCGCGGCGGCAGCTGTCTGCCGGTATCGTGATCTCGTAGACTTTCCGTTATCGTGTGCAACTCTTCATTTGAGGAGCAATGTCTGGGTTTTTCTAAAGCAACGGATCGCCTATTGAAACTTTGCTGTGGTGGTTTCATTCAAGAGCCGTTTGTTGCTATTCTTACAGTCATATCAGCAAAGCTCTGCTGCGTCTCTTTTTGACTGAACACCTCATGAGCTTTCGAGCGGATGAAATACTTTGTATTCCATGGAATGAGCCTTTTATACTTGAGCCAAGTCTGAGTTTTATTTATTCTCAATTTTGCATCGCTCATATCTGCGGAAAGGAACAAGAGATCTGTTTATTGTTTTCATTTTTGTCTGAGGCTTGCTTTGCTGTTTAGCAGCAGTTTATTTATGTGTAATTTTAAACTTTTGTTCTTTGTTTTTTTCGGTGGTTGAAAAAGGGAATGTTAACCCTGAAACGTCCTGTCCAAATTATTTTTATTTATATCCTGTTTTTCTTATTTCATTTACATTACTGTAGCCATGCCTACAAGATACTCGCCGATTTACGTGTGTAGATTGAGATTTTCACTGTCCGGACTATTGTGCGGCGCTGCTCGTGCCCCTCCCTTCCCGTCCACTCTGGCCCCTTTCTGCTTCTCTGCCACCTACACTCGAGGCTTGGACTCTGATGCTCATGAGGCTTCGCTCATCGTTGCGAAGCCGGGTGGTCTTTATCACCGTGAGCGCCGGAGTCCGAGTCGCAGGTATGGGTGGCGGGAAAGCGGAGAGAGGCCGGAATGGACTGGAAGAGAAGGCCACAAGTAACGCCGCACCATGGTCCGGCCAGCGGAAACTCAATTTACTAACCTAAAATGGCTAATATCTCGAGACATGGGATCTTTTTCGGCTCATCAGAGTTTTTGATCAGAATGACTAGCTGAGCAACATATCCAAGTTTCATCAGATTGTAGAGAGAGCCATTTTCTATACGGATTGTGCAGGGTTCTTTAGATGCTGAAAGATAATCCTGAACATCCGTAGAGCCGTTCATTTCTCTTATTAATTTTATAATATGCTGTTCTACATTTTCTCTGTGCTATCGTAGGTTTAAATGTTTTTAAAGTCTTGATCGTTATCTTGCAGCATGTATTCTCACCAGTGTGTTTATTTATGTATTACAGAATCATGTCTAGAAGAAAGTCTGAGAAACTGTCCAACGGTGATGTCGAAGTAGCAGAGAATCACACGGAAGAGGAAGTTGACCAAAATGATGATCAGTCAGACGACAAGCCACGAGCCTCCAAGCGCGCTAAAAAAGAAGCCAAGAAAGATAAAAAAGAGGCTAAGAAGAGTCCTCGCAAGCGTAGTGCCTCAAAATCCCTCAAGGAAGAAGACGAAGAAAGCGATACAGAATATGAGGTAAAGGGTTCATCCCCGTTTTTCGTGGTAAATTTTTCCCCCGAAGTTTGATGAGAAACTGGTTTCAAGCGAAGTCGACAGTCTTTTTTTTTCTGTTTGCAAGCACTGGCGATGATGTCATTCATTAGCGATCAAGGATTGATCGTGAGCAACCCTACCGCCGCACTCAGAGACGTTAATTGGTATACTGCGCATGACAGTCGAATGTAAACAACTTCCAAATTAGCTTACGATACCCCTGAGGGGAGGTTTCACTGTCAGATTGCAGACTTCTCTCTTCTGTGAGAAGTTTTCAACTGCACAGTCGAGTTAAATCACCTTAAAGTGAAGAAAATTTAATAACTTGGCAAAATTGAAAAATAGGGCTGGTGACCAAAAATCCTGAGCAATGACAGATATCTTGGTAGAATTTTATATCAATGAATGTCCTTGACTTTCAAAAAATTGCTGCAACATACTAGTAAATTGTTGAGTCTCATATCAGCTGATTATCTCATTTCATATTTCTGTCAAAAAAATTTATCTATCTATCTCATGAAATGGTAACTTAAAAATACTCATGCTACCAGCGTTACGTTACAGAAACAGGAAATTTCTTGATTTACTCTCATTGCTAGCGTTAGAAGAGGTTATATTATTGTTTGCATCCAATTTGATGTAATGGAGAATCCTTATGGTAACATAATTAACATTAATAATAGTGGTAACATTACTAGCTCTTTCAGTAGACAGCGGAGAATGAATGTATATATATGATTTTCCATTTCTGTGGCATTCTAAGTCTTTTAGATGTCTCCCCGTGTAATGACCTGTCAAACTGATCAAGAATAATTTTTTACTGTTTCAGGTCGCCAAAATTGTTGATGTAAAAACTGTGAAGGGAAAACGACAATTCTTGGTCAACTGGAAAGGGTACGCTAGCAAAGATAACTCTTGGGAGCCAGAGGATCATCTTTCATGTCAGGATCTTATCGATGAGTTTTTCAAAGATAATAAAAATGTAAGCTATTTTTTCATATTAATATTCAAATTTTGATTCTGTTCATATCGATATTTTAAATTGGTATTTTATCTGGGGNGGGGGGGGGGGGAGGCGTGATTTGACCGAAAGATGAGACTTACTGAAAGCACCTCTTAATTCCCTTATTCTTGGAAACTTTCTGACTTCTTTAGAAGGTAAAAAGGGTTTATGAGAAGAGTCTAATGCAGTACGTAATTATACCCATAGAGTAATGAAGAAAAAGGGATGCAGAGATTGCTCGACCTCGCGTCTGCCCAAGCGCGTGAAACTGAAAGAAGGAACAATAGTTATGGATCAAAAGTCAAAAATCTTGAACAAGGGGAGCGAGAAAAGAAAAAACAAAAGAAAAAGAAAAAAAAAAACGGGAAAATTAGAAGAACAAGGCTCTAGCTCTTGAAATTGAAGGAAAACTTTGTATAAAGTCGATGAGTTAAATGTGGAAAGCCAATGGGCAGGCATGTGAAAATATGTAAACTTGGAAAATTCTACACCCCTGCAAAGGAGTCTATTATTTTGCCCTGGTTCAAGGTCGAACGACTATGGCAACTAGATTCAGTAGATTTCTCAAGTTATGATAGTTCTTATCTTGGAGAAATAAGCTCATGGCTACAAGGAGCAGAGTTAGCATTTGCATAACAAAGGGCCAGTTTTGCTGGTCACAGAATCGCGTTTTCAATGCTTGATTCTTGTAGATAAGTTAAAAATAATACGATTTGTCCAAACCGCAACTATCTACGTTCATTATTATCCGAGATGTTGTTGCCCTTTGAAAAGTTGGGTTTTTTATGTCATCCACCATGGTAGTGATACCGTTGGTTTCTTCCACCTCGCTTTCATCACTCAAGGAGACACACATTTGCACTGGTCACTCACCGTGAAACTCGGATGAAAGCAAGGTGGTAGAAACCAAGGGTGCCACTACCATTGCAGTGTCATTGAAGCGTTTCCCCACAGCATTGGGAAAAAAACTGAAATCATCAGCTTATTTATTTTTTATTTCTTTATTTTTCATTTGGTTCACGGAAGAAGCCATCAATCAATGGCTATCATAAAAGTCAGTGATTTGGAAATCATAAGGATTTAAACATTCAATAAAGTTCATATTGTAGATTGAGGCAAAGTTGCCAGCTCTTTTTTGCCAAAATTGTTTGTTAGGCGGTATTGTTCTCGATTGGAAATCCCACCAAGTGGCTAATTTGAACAAAATTCTTGGTCTTTTTTGTTTGAATCATCATGCGCACACCTTATTCATGCTTGATTTCACTCTTTGTGTTTTTCTTGATTTAGCAGTAAGTAACATTAAAATTTATTTTCTTTCCTAGAAATCGCCTGAAAAGCCAAAGAAAGCGACCAAGACAGCATCCAAATCTCCCAAAGGCAAGAAGAAGAAGACAAAGTAATTGTTGTCGTTTGAACCGACTTCTCTGCCTCAACTGTCTATCATAAGGTCTGAATATGGTTTTCTGTTTTTTCTTACTTCATCCCAGTCAGGTTACCAGCTTGTAATACTAAATGACATCAATTGATGACTCATGCAAAAAGAGAATCTCTGCCGGAGTTAAGAAACTACACTCTTGTACAGATTTGTGGTAAACCTGTGCAGCTCGGTTGTTTTTTGCTTTAATGAAATACTATTTGCTGAGTTTTTTTTTTTTTTTTTTTTTTTTTTTTCTTAAGGAAAATGGTGATGGCCCTCTGCCCAAATAATATTTACACCACTCTCGGCTCAGGCTTTTTATGATGGAATAAGCCTCTTCAATTGTTAGTTTGATAGAAAGTTATAACCTGCCTTGTAATGTTTCAATCTACAAATTTGACTTGCCATGTTTTAAAATCATTTTTTTTTATTCCTCTAACACCAATAATTCACTGAATGATGTAAGAAAAGAGATGCTCTTAAGATCAAGTATTTTACTCAGAGGGAAAGTAATGTCTTTCTTGTTTGCGAACGTTTTCTAACAAACCAAAAATTCTTTCATTGCGATAGACATGAGATTGAGAAGTGTGTAATTATTTTTTTGTTGCAATTATGCAACGACTGTACAGTCTTGAAAATTAATGGTCTCTTGAATTGTTCTCATTTTTTCCTTTGGGATCAAACCGTTCCCGTTTTTAGCTACATGAAAGGTACGTTCTACTACCAAATTACGTTTTAGTTAAAGTTGACGTCTGAGTGTCAGATATCTGTAAGGATTATATTGATTAAAAAGAAAAGAGGAATAAATTTTATATATAAAAAAAAAAAATGTTTAGTTTTGATGACTATTTCAATTAGCATGAACTGTTTGGGAATACTAGTAAAGTGTTCTTTAAAAATATTGTGACTATTATCAAGATTTGTGATGCGGTTCCACAAAATTTTTGTGATGTGCTTCTCTATCCATAATATCTTCCCTTAGTGTTTTTTAAACAGACATCAAGAACTCCTCAAAGCGGTCAGTGAAATGTTCAAATTAACTTTAGTCGGGATAACTTATGAAGAGTTTTTTTTTATTTTTACAGTTAGCGTAATTGGGATGGACCATAAGACAAGGTGTGTCTCAAGCATTATTATATATATTTCTTCAACCAAATTTTTCTATCTAACACGGTTGGTACAAAAAAATTACTGAAAGTGCATTAATTCAAACTTTCTCAGCAATGCTGTAAAAAATGTTAGCATCTTGGTAGGAATTTAATTTCAGTAATTTTTGCAGTGCAAAGCCTGTTATGTGAAATTTGCATGAACTTATTTCAGAATACCAAAATTCGTGCCTTGTCTGGTGGCCCATTGGAATTAGCAGATGAACAAAAATTAGGAATACTGTATAAGGCAATAAAGCAGTAAAGAAATAGTAGTACTACTGCACTATGTTGTTTTGGGTCGATGCGTTACCATTTACAATATTTGGGTTTTCCTTACCTACCAGTGTAGATCACACTGACCATGATCACCAGGGTAATAATTATACTATGGTGAAATAGTGAGGCACTTTCATCAGCATTATGTAAATAGGTTCTGTTGAAGGTTTTCTTACCCTCAACCTCTCTCTGTATTTTTGTTCCATATTCATTGGTTTAAGCATTAGATTGTGTCAAGTAAATTTTGTACGGCCTCCCTCACATAATGTCAGCGGTTCATTAAAGCCTCTGGCTGGCCGAGTGCAGATGTAACATGATAAATCCATTCTAAATTGAAATAACGTGAATCTTCTCAAAATGAGTACTGATCTCACCTTTGAGTATGTACTCTTTTTGCAGACCAACTTTTTTCAGAGGAAACTTTTTTTTTTTTTTACTCCTAGGTAGTTAATATCAACCAACTTGTCCATAAATCCCCTGAACTTAAGCCATTTCTCCCTCCTTTGTTGAATCTTTTTCCCACCCCAAATAGCAATAGAGACAAACATTAACACATAAATATAATGTTGATATTTCTCATAGATAGTAAGATAACAGCCCCAGCTGTCATGAACATTTTTTTTAAATTCATTTAAAACGACTGGTTGAAGAAGGAAAAAATGTTATTTAAGTCCCATGCTATGTTGCATGTTTTCCACGCTGATTTCAGGGGTATTGGCCCCATTTATTGTTGGAGATAGTCCTTAAAAAATTAAATCGTCGTTTCCTGGACAAAACAACGTAACTTCACTTAAAGGATGCTAAATTTCCTTCTACAATTTTCATTTTTACTGTGAAACTGTTGGATATTTTCTTCCAAATTCCCCAGGCCCTTCCGTGGATCATTGTCAAAAATCAGCCAAATTTTTGACAGAAATCGCATCATAATTTTTGTTTGAAAAAAAGAACTAATTAAGTAAATATTGTACCCTTGGAATGGAGGTTCGTTCCTTAATCCAGGAAACGATTAATTAATTCTCATTTCATCGTGTACTTATATGAGCATGAAACTGTCTTAAGATATACCTAGTACATTTTCAATAAATTTATCAGCAGTATACCTTGAGTCTCCATCATTACCAAGATTAGATAGTACCAGTGCTCCTGACTCAGTTTGTTTACTCTCAAAAGCAGGTGTGCTGTATTTTGTTAAAGGAACACAGGGTATCGCTGAGTCCATATTGCAAATTCTGGTTATTTTCACATTGGTCAAGACATGTCTTCCCAGAGCCACACTAACTTCACAATGTAAATTTGCAACAGAATTTGCACTGTGGACTTCAGAGGTGCTCAATATGTTTATAAATTGATGAATTTTTATTTTTACAATTTTTACTGTATAATATATCTGTGTGACTCCTCATAAATGACTGTTTTATTCATTTGACACTTAAACTTGACACCTCTAATTTTTAGAAAATGGGGAACTGATTTAAGGGTTAAAAGTCTGTAAAATGTATGCAAAGCAAAGGACTACGTAGTACGCACCCGCTTTGTCATCTTTTCTCGGGGGTTCCCCCATATCAAACAACAGGAAGTTTCTGCACTCCTGCACAAGGTTGAGGAATAGTCAGGGGATACCGGGAAATGTCAAAGAAATTTTTATAATTCAGGGATTACCTGGAAATGTTCGGGATAATCCATGAAAGTGTAAGTGAGTTTGACGTTTCTTACAAGAAGTTTTGCCATGAAATTATTTCAAATAGTGTGTTTTTAACCATCTGGCATATCTTCCATTGTCAGGGAAATTTACCAAAATATCTCCGGAAAATTCATTTTCTAAATTCTGTGGCAACCATGACTAGTTGAAGAACTTTTCAGAATCACGCAGTTGTTTAATTCATGATTATTTTGAACCTCCAGTTTGGGGACATTATGTAGATTGCATTTTGCAAAAAGGAACCACTAGCATTGCAATGATGCTAAGATTGTGCATCTTCATCTTCTGCAATAAAATTGCGGAAATCGTGAAGAACTATGAAATTTAGATGGTAATTTTTGTCTTAAATTTACAGTTTTTAGCGAGTAAAATAGAAACTATTAATGGATAATCGGGTTTTTCCTCCAAGACGAAAGAAGTTGCACAATCTTAGCAACATTGCAATGCTAGTGGTTCCTTTTTGCAATATGCAATCCAAATTGCAGTGTTTCAAGTACTTAATGAGTTGTTATGGACCCATTTTGCAAGGTGATTCATAAAAAAGATCCTTGCCATTGATTACCATTGAATTTTGTTTATTTGCCACCTGAGTCAAGGTAAGTGCTGAACAAGACGCATTCCGCATTTCAGGAGTAAAAGAGAAGAACATTATGCAAGTTTAACTAATATATTTCCCGGACTTAATTGTGTTGTAGTCGCACCTTGGAAAACTTATACATGTATTCAGGCTTGTGCTGTCACAGATTTCCTGTTGCATTTCATTTTATCTCCAGACGAATGGTCATCGTTTTAGTTCTAATTCAATGCGATTGATCAGGATTGGTCTTTGGAAATTTCGCACTTACACATCAAAATCAATTTTTCCAAAAGAATAAAGAAACAAAAAAATCCAAGGAAAGGACTCATCAAAACTGTATACATCATGTTCAGATACCTATTTTTTTCATGTCGAGGGCCGGTAACATTGTAATACTTTTAAATCATGCATTTCACGAAAAATTGACAACATTAGTAATGGTTTACTTCATCGGCACAGTAGGCAACACTGAAATTGGACGCATTTCTGTCAAACGGAACTACGTGCATTATGGCGTGAGCCCTCTAATGCATGTATTCCTACGGGTTTCAGGGCTCATGTCTTAATGCACATAGTTCCGTTTGATAGAAATACGTCCAATTAATGTAAGACGAAATCGAAACAATCTAAGCTTCAGGTAGTGTCACATTCGACGGAAAGTCAACGAATTTCATTATAACGCCTGATTGATGCAACTATTTGGGCTCTATGAATGTCTGTGTTGCATACGCTATGAGATGAAGGCGTTTTGATTTCAGACACTTTTTCACCGTCTCACTAGCAGCGGCCCTCTGTGGACAAGTACAAAAAATTCACAACTCGACATCTGAATATTTGTTTGGAGTTTGTCATCTTAAAGATATTTTTGACTCACAATGATGGTTTATTTTCAAATTTTTCGCTCATATTCTCCTCAAATTTACGTAGAAAGTGGGCGGGAAATGGGTCGAGACTCGAGAATCGTTGGTCCATAAGAAATACAGGGGAAAAAGACGTCAACTTGAAAGGAAGATTTCTCGCTTGAAACGTAAAATGCTCTGGGTGGTTGACATTTTCATAACCCTCAGATACCCAACTTCAATTCTACCAAAAAGACTTTGCGACATTTTGCGACCTACATTGTACGATGACCAAAGCAAAAAGACCCTGGTAAAAATTGGCGGTAGAATCTGTGTTCTAAAATACCATAGACCTACGGCCGGCTGTAAGATTTCCAATAGCTTCTACAGCCGACTACACAATTTCTTATAGCCGATGGCGATTAAGCAACTCAGCCAGGCGATAAAGTGTATGCTAAACGTCACTAATTACGGATGCTAGGACTTAGTGAGTTTCTGGACCACTGCTCTCTTTTTGGGCCGTAGTATCTTGATTTATTTTGCGAGGAAAGCTCCGTACTTTTGATGGATGCCTGTCATTCCTAATATATTAGAGCGCCTTCAGTTTCGTATGATACTGTGCAATACCTCTGGTGTGAAATAGTTGCTTCAAGTGCCGTGGCACGCTGCGGTGCGGCAGGCGGGCAGCCAGCGCGGAACGCGCATTGGCGCCTACAAACCTAACAGGGATACTTCACGCGTTGCGCTATGCGTGAAGTATCCCTGTTAGGTTTGTAGGCGCCAGTGCGCCGCCGCTCCGCTTTGTTTTAGGCTCTAATATTTAATCTGGCGGAGTCATGTCGCAATCACACGCTGAATGTGGAAGTCATCGGCCCGATGCCTGAATTTTGCGCGCCACGCGCAAAATTCAGCAACGGTTCTCAGCAATTCGAGTAGATTTGATACACATCTGGATGAAAATAACTCGAATTTGCTAAATTTCAGCCGTTATTGGGCATTGACTGTTGACTTCCACATTCAGCTGCCAAATTCAGCGTGTGATTGCAGCATCAGCGTTATTCAACTCATGATTTTGAAATGTTTGCACATCCTGTATGGATTATTCTCGTTTTAATTGATGAAAAAAAATATGTATCAAAGGAAAATATAACGTGTGTTTTGTTAATATTAAGGTGGTTCCGTATCAAACTTAATGATTTCCAAAGCACACGAATTTCTACACAATTTCTTATAGCCTTTTATAATCAATGGCGAAAAAGCAACAGCCAGGCGATAAAGTGTAAAGCCCTGCGATAGGAACTATAGCCCGGTTGCATAATTTTTTATCGCTTCGTATAGCCCGGCCGTATGATTTTCTCCGCATTCCACAGCCAGCAATATGATTTTCTGTAGCCTTCTTTAGCCGGCTATAAGAATTCCTATGGTATTTTGAAACGCAGCTCTTATCGCCAATTTTTACCAGGGGACTTCAAAACCACAATCTGAACCGAGCATTTGGACTCTCTATTAAGATAAGACTTACAGACAAAAAAATAAAAGAACGTAAAATAAAAATCTTCGGCAGTTTTCAAAATTACGGCTCGATTGAAGACTTCAAAATTATGATCATTTTTGGTCAACATCATTGTACTGTACCACTCAGATAGGATACAGATGAGCGCCTTCAACTCACTGCGTAATCTTAATGCGAGATTCTGATACCACTATACGTGCTTCACGGCAGTTATTTTGCATAGCTAGCTAATTGAAGGCAAATCATTAGCCGAAACTACAGGGTACTAATTTCAGCACCGTGGCACGTGTTTTTTCGGGAGAACAACGTCCGGGGGTGCCACGCCTGGCTTCTAAGAAGCTCAACCCCACGAGACTGCCTCACCTGCCAACCAAGAAGACCATCCCCCCGGGGGTTGCCCCCCTTGGCATCCAAGAAGCCCATCCCTAGGGGGGCTGCCCCACTTGGCATCCGAGGAGCTTGTTGTCTCACCACCGGTGACGTCAACAAGCCTATACAAGTGGATTACTTTTTGCAATAAGGAACCACTATCTCTGGCTCTTCCATAAAAGCACGTATCCTCATAGGGAAATGAAGGGCTCATATGTTGTTTCTTTTGAGCCAGAAATGGTGGTTCTTTATTGCAAAATGTAATCCAAGTGTGAGCTGCATCGTTTTCGTGGTATTTCTTCACCTCTGACCCATGTACGACACGTACGCCTTCACTGCCTCGCTGAAGAAGAACGCCGTTTGAGCATTCTAGAGTCACCAAATTTCCTCCAGTAAAACGTTAATTTTTGAGGAACGTTATGAATATTTTCCCTTGAAATTTTCAGGTACTATAGATTAAATTGTAAATGAAATCCTGTAAAAAATTGGGAGAAAAATATCCAAAGTTTTCCGGGAATTTCGTATTTAATCGAAGGAAATTTGGCGACATCTGAAGGTTCATACAGCGTTTATCTTCAGCACGGCAGTATTACGCCCTTCCAGGCGTGTGACTCTCGGTTAATCTTGTAAAGTTCTAAATTCTCAATACAATTTCAAATTTTCGGTCCTCTTTTAAATCGTTTTTTTTTTAGAATTTTCCTGTTCTCTCACAAGTTTTTATCTATGCTATTTAGGGCCGGGTTTACCTACTTGCCGCCCATGGGCCGCATGCAATTTGCCGCCTCCCTCTCATTTGTTTTGAAACATCAATAAAAACTATCAAGTGAACGTGCCAGAGGGAGAGGAGTGCATCAGATGCGTTAACTCGTGTTGGACACATTTTTTGCAAAAGCCCTGCCAACACTACTAGCAAAAATTCACGGAACTTGGCGCGAAAGTTAAGTTCCGTAAACCTATCTCTGGCCCTATCTTCCTAAATGCCTTCCATTTAAAAGAAATGAACGAGAAAATTATGAAAGACTAAACATTAATTTGGTTTAATAGTATATTTCAACTTCAATCGCCGCGCTGATCGCATTATGTTTGGCGCAATGCGTGAAGTATTCCTACTGTCTTGTAGGCGCCTTGCGTCTCACGCCGACCGCTGCCGAACGCCTTGTGGTTGGTGCAATGCGTGAAGTATTCATGCAGTCTTGTAGGCGCTGTGCGTTACACGTAGACAGCTGCTGACCGCGTTGTGTTTGATGCTATGCGTGAAGTATTCATGCAGTCTTGTAGGCGAATATGTGTCATATGCCGACCGCCGCGCCGAGGGCTTCTCCTTTTCATCTCAAGTCTTCGTCCTCTTTGCTCTTTCCAGACCAAATTACGTGTTTGGTTTCTCTCATAACTCGACTAATTAAAGGTGATGTCTCTTGTATCACCGCAAAACGACAAAATTAGAAATTACTGTTCTCTCAGGAAATGAAAGATTTTGTCGCCTTTTCTCGTTTGTAATTTTTTTTCATACCTACATTTAAACAAATTTCAAAATTTGCCGCCATATGGGCCGCGGCCGATGTGGCCACCCCCTAAATCCGGCCCTGATGCTGTTTTGAAAGGTTTTCTTTTAGTGAGCGATAAGCAGAGACCCATCCCAAACTTCTTCCCTTATCCGCGACACAGATTTATACAACAAGTCGAGTTGGTTGAGGGTAGGAAAAAAGAAGGGAAAGTAAGCAAAACAATGTGAAGTAAAAAGATTGTCCAAATTTATTTTTTGTGTCGGTTTGGTATTACCTAGTGGTTGGAACATCAACAGTGTCCCATTACAATCCGTGTAAATTGAAATCTCACATGACTTTTTGAAGATTTTAATTGTAAGAACTGTTTTTATTTGCACGATTCGATGCGATGGTCCGTCGGATGAGAGATAGCACCAGATGTTGTCCCTTCCCAAGTAGCAGAGGTTGCAACAACTTGCAACAAAATCGTTTGATTCTTGCAACTAATAGATTGATGTGCAGATTGCCTACTCTTTCCCCTGAAGGAGCTATCATTGTTGGAACTAGTTGCGATTAAGTTGAAACATGTTTCAACTTCGAAGTATTGCTGGTTGCCTATCTTTAGATTTTAAACAACTTTGGTTCAGCAATTTCGCAATCTTGTCAATCAGCAAAGAGCCTCCCAAAAAGTGGCCCCTTTTTTGAAACTCGGGGATTTCATCCGTATGCGGCTTAAATTAAACCTTATGATGAGACAAGCCTCCTGTAAAAATTTTAGCTTGAGTATACGTCTGGTTTCCAAGATACAGTGTTGCAAAGTTTGCATATTTAAGCTTTAAAAATTTGCATATTTTCAAATATCTTACTTTAAAAAACAACTCCATCAGATATAATCTGTTATTTTGTGACATTTTACCTACAGTCAGTCTTATCTTTAAATCTATATTCCTATTGATACGGTGATACTGCTGATTCTCTTGATACAACGTTGCAAAGTTGACACCAAAGACGTATAAAAATTGCTCATTTTTGTAAGTTTCTGAATGAAAAAACGAACTTATTGATCACCAACAGATCTGTGTATGGTGTTTAGATGTAACTTTATAATATGATAAGTCTTTTGTATAGGCCTTACCGCAAGCGTAAGTACAGATTTAATGATACAGCGTTGCTAAGTTTATACATTTGAGCTTTAAGAATGTGTATATTTCCAAGTCCCGCGTTTAAACAGCTACTTTCGTGGATCTTCTTTAGAATTTGAAGCATGAAATCTACCAAATGTGTCATTTGTAGCTCTATGTTTGTATTTAAATAGGGATACTTTAATTGGTGGTGACACAGCGTTGCCAAGTTAACAACTTTAAACTCTCGAAATTATTATTTATGCTAGTTAAAGAGGACGTCAATGGGTGTCAGGCCTTATATCAAGGAAAAATGTCGAGGGCTGATGTCAGTTCCAAGTGACAATTGGTATTCGCAAAAATACTTTTGCTAAGTTTATTAATACTTATTTTCAAACAATTAATAATAAAATTATTTTAAAATAAAGATGCCTCCAATAATTGATACTTAATTTTGTTTTTAGTGTAATTTTAATATTATTTTACTGTTTCTAATTTTTATTTGATTTTATCAATTTTTTCAATATTTTTAATTTTTATTTGATTTTTTTTATTTTTTCAATTTTTTACAATATTTTTAATTTTTATTTGATTTTTTTTTATTTTTTCGATTTTTTACAATATTTTTAATTTTTCAAGTTTTTTCAATATTTTTCATTTTTTTAAAAAAAACAGTGGAGGTACTCTATTTTGCAAGGCATAATAAATGTATTCTCTAGATCAATATTTATTTAAACTTAAAAAAACTCGGCAAATTCTGTATTCTATGTTTATTTTTTTCATTTTACTTTAAAAACGGTTAAATTGGCAACTATGGCGAGGCATAATTTGTTGGATTTTGAAAGCAATGCTGGTGCTGCGAGCATTTCATCGAGCATGGCAAAGTCTCTTGAATTTGATTTTGAAATTAGATAATTATTGGAAGTATCCTAATTTTAATTTTATTTTATGATTAAATGTTGAGATAAAAAAAAGATAAATAGGCAACAGTGTCATTTTTTACACCAACTGTCACTTAGAACTAACAAGATTCCTTGTATTTCACTTTACAATATCGAAACATGTTTAATCGGAGTTGTCTCTCATAAGAAAACAAGAGAAAAGACATTTTCAGAGATTTAGGATGTAAACTGTGCAACGCTGTGTTACTTGAAATCATTGTAGCCTTTTATCAATGCAACTATGCATCCAAAAGTATCACTAGGGGTTAATTTTATCCCTCAAAACGCAGTTTGATATTCACTAAAATTGGTTTTTAAACAAGAAACTTAAAAATATGAGCATCTAAAGCTCAGAAAGGTAAACTTGCAACGTTGCACTACCAAAACAGGGGTCATGCATGAGCTAAAACTTTTGATGGAGGCTTTTTTTATCATTATGCTTCATTTACGCTTTGTTTTAGATTGTAAAGTTCACTCTGATGTTGGTTTTAGGAAGATAATATTTGAAACTATGAAGATTTTTAAAGCTTAAATATGCAAACTTTGCAACGCTGTATCTTGGAAACCAGACGTATACTCAAGCTAAAATTTTTACTGGAGTCTTAGGTCATCATAAGGTTCCGTTTAGGCCACATTTGAATGAAATCCCCGAGTTTCAGAAAAGGGGCCAAAAAAGGCTCTTTTTTTGGGAGGCTCTTTGTCAGTCTCAGCAGGTTGCAACTTTGTCTTTCGATCAGATCGCCGAAAATCGGCACTTATCGACCGAAAGTTGACTGAAAGTTGAAACTTTGTTGCAACTAATACCAACATTGTTTCAACTTGTTGCAACTTTTACATTGAAGTATGCTACTTGGGTTGTGGGTTGGTGCCCAGTCGTCGTTTTTGTGATCCACGAAGAATTGGTCCTCAATTGGTTCCCATATGGCATTATGGCATATGCATTTTGCAAAAAGGAACCATAAGAATTCTAATGTTGCTAACATTGTGCAACTTTTTAACCTTGCAACTATAGACTGATCATCTAATTAAAGTTTATCTTCACCCCCAATAAACTATAAATTAAAGACGAAAATTACCTTTGGAAATTTATTTTTTTGCATAATGTCAGTGATTTGAATACAAAGATTGTACGAGAGTTGCACAATCTTAGGAACATGGGAATCCTCTTGATCCCTTTTTGCAAAATGCAATCCATATGATGTGGGTAATATTCGTCAACGCCACGAACCATCGAGTTGACAGTTGAGTACACGAGTAGAGCATAAACTATGGTGACCCGATCATTCTGCTCGTCAGTATTTGAAGGTCACACAAATCTATCGTTGGTGGCGTTACCTTTGAGAAATCTTGAAATGACAAACAGACCGTCGGCAGTGTTTAATCGATGAAGTGAATTAATCGATTAAGAAATTATTCACAAATCGATCTCATATTATTTTATTGCAATTTCTTTGGTTAGGTTTGGATCAGTTTTGTTGATGGTGTTGTCATTGGATGACAGGCATCGCAGGATTCCTTATCCTTATCCCTCAATATCGCATTGGCGGATCCAGCGAATTGGCAACCTTGTTTCGCTCCATTTAAACCTATGAAAATATATCGATTCTTGAAGGGGCCAGGTGCTCCGACAAGAATCGATTAATTAACATAGGTTTAAATGGAGGGAATCCGGTGTTGCCAAATTGCTAGATCAGCCTCTGCAATATCGTTCGTTTGGGTGCACACTTTTGTGACACCATGGCCAGCCTAGACTAGCTGATAATCGAGATGTCTTAACTCTAGGTATGAAGGGACTCTACTCCAGTGGCGTGGCGTGCTTTGCAATTAATCGATTGATTTGTCATTTAAACCTATGGAAAAGGATCGACAAACAGAGTGTTCGCAACGAACGTATTAATAATCGATTCTTTAGCACAGCTTAAAATGGAGAAATACCGATGGTTCACCATTCCTCCCGTTCCCGGGGCACTCCGCCGTAAACACCATTCTCTATCTCGCAATGATTGCCTCCCCGCAGTATCTTGAAGGTGCCCTTGTCTCCCCAGTATTCGTTCCAGGAATTCGAGATCAGCCAGTACGGTGTGTTTTTTTCCGTTCCCCATCCGATCACCTTAACTGCATGCATTCCGAGGTACTCATCTGTTGTCCTATCGTAAACACCTGAAGTCAAAAAGTATTTTTAATTCCTGCATTCAAATTGAAGAGGTAAGTGCGAATAGATTCTTAAGGCGGTTCGACGGACGTCATTTTTTGTGTCACAGCGGCGTCCGATACATCGAATCGATTAGTTCCATGTTTTCAGCTTGTCGAATTTTCCTCGAATTTTGAGATCTCAATTCAAATGTCATCAGGAGACCAAAGAATTCGCTTACCAATTTTGACAAACTAATTCAAAGTAATAGAGGCGTGGGTTTTTCCGAGGAGATATATCGCATTCGGGTACAGTTTCGATGTCAGTATCGAATGCGATATTTTCCCTCTAAAAAACCCCTGCCTTTACTACGTTGAATTTCCCTGTAAAATTTGGTACATGAATTCTTCAGTCTCGTGACAACAGAGGTGCGATCTCAAAATTCGAAAAAAAAATGACAAGTAGCTGAAATTATGGACAGGGCCGGATTTATTTACTTGCCGCCCATGGGCCGCCTATATTTTGCCGCCCCCTTCTCATTCCTTTTGAAACATCAATAAAAACCATCAAGTGAACGTGCAGCAGGGAGGGGTGCATAAGACGCGTATACTCGTGTTGGATACATTTTTTGCGAAAGCCCTGTCAACACTACTAGCTAAATTTCACGGAACTTTGCGGTGAAAATTAAGTTCCGCAAACCTATCTGTGTGGACAAGGTCCTCCATTTATAAGAAATGAACCAAAAAATTATGAAAAAACAAACATAAATGTGGTTTAATAATTTAACTTCCGCTGCTACGCCGCGCCGCGCTGATCGCACTGTGTTTGGCGCAATGCGCGAAGTATTCCTGTAGTCTTGTAGGCGCTATGCGTTTCACGCCAACCGCTTCTGACCGCACTGTGTTTGGCGCAATGGGTGAAGTATTCTTGCAGTATTGTAGGCGCTAATATGTGTTACATGCCGACCGCCGCGCCAAGGGGTTGTCCTTTTCATCTCAAGTCCTCGTCATCATATTCCTCTCTGCGCTGAGCTCCAGGCCAAAGTGCGTATTTAATTCCTCTCTTAACTCGACTAATTAAAGATGCTGTCTATTGTATCACCGAAAAACGACAAAATTAGAAATTACTATACTCTCAGGAGAGAGAGAGATTTTGTCCCCTTTTCTTATTGATAATTTTTTTTCTGAATCCGATTTTTTTATACCTACATTAAAACAAATTGCAACATTTGCCGCCATGGGGCCGCGGCCCATGTGGCCACCCCCTTAATCCGGCCCTGATTATGCGAATTGATGCGATATATCGCAAGTCGCTCTGACACAAAAAATGGCAACCGTCGAATCACCTTAAGGGTGGTTTATAAAATATGAATTGCTTTGGAGGAGGGGGGAGGGCATTAGAGCCACAGCCACGTTAAATATCGACGGTGAAACTACCAAACCACGTATCTCGGTTTGCGACGTCACAGACTTCCTGTCATACTTCATTTTTTAAATGAAAAACTACTTAACGTCCAGTCTTGAAAATTTCTGTGATTTTTCCTCTTCGTGCGGAGAAAATTCTGTGAAAATTTCAAGGAATGATATTGATTTGGTCTACTTCAAAAAAATAAAATGCGAGCGTAGATTTTTAAACACCGCAAACGAGATACGTGGTTTGGTAGTTTCACCGTCGATGTAACTCTGGCTGCTGTAATGCCATAATATCATTGAAAGAAGGTTTATTTTCATTTTTCACATTTCAATATTTTGATGAAAGTACTTTCAATTGTCTCTTTTGCACTATTATTCCGCTTATATATATACTATATAGCCTTTCTGGTTCTCTTTTGCCCGAGAAAAGTTTGTCAATTCTTTGTAATGAAGTAAAGTTTGCAATGAATTTATCTCAAAATCTCAAATTGCTTCGCAATATCAAGTCAAATGTTTAATGCGCCATAAACTACGATAAAACTTTTAATCTTGAGTTTAATTTTTCTCAAAGTCCTAGAAATGCCATACTTCCTTTATTCACCCAGGATCCTAATTCTATAGTTAGATCACTGTAATGGTTTCAGGACATTCTGTCAACGATTTTTTGTCCGCGCACCTGTTTTGTCCAGCAGTTTACGTCTACGCGTAAGATAAGCAATATTGACTTGGTCCAAGCCTTATATTGTAGTCCGTATGTAAAATTGTATTGACAATATCGAAATGAGAAAATTGAGAGAGGAGGTGTTGTTATGGCAACTCAGTTTTTCAATGAAATGTTACTTTCTTCTTTTGATTCATCATTTCAAATTTTCATTGGTGATTATTTGGTTTTATTTCCATCCTTAAAATTTTCGATACAAAATAAACCTTTTTTATCCTTTTTCTCTTTCTTCTTCTTCTTTTTGATGAAAATATTACTTCATTTTAAAAACATTTAAATTTTTAAAATCTGGCAAATATTTGTAAAACCTTTTCCAAGCGATGGCATCTATATTAATCTCAATTAGTCGTAGTTGTGTTGAAAGGAACTATATAAAATGAATAAAACGGGGAAAACCAAGAAGCACGCAATCTTTGGTTTTAACTCATTTCTACGTCGATCTTTTAGAGTCAAATAAGTCCAATTTTGAGAGTTTGGTTGCGCGTGCACCACGATGTAGCACAGTAAAAGTACAAAATATAAAAGAAAAAATTGACGTTCTTAGGAGATCATAAAGTTTGATACGAAACTACCTTAATATTTATAAAACACACATCATATTTTCCTTTTATACATATCTTTACCCATCAATTTAAATGAGAATAATCCATGCAGAGTGTGCAAACGTTTCAAAATAATGAATTGATAAACGTTGACTCAGCGAGTTTAAATATTCGAGCCATACGTATGAGCGGAGCGGCACGCGCACTGGCTCCTACAAACCTAACATGGATACTTCACGCATTGCGCAATGCGTGAAGTATCCCTGTTAGGTTTGTAGGCGCCAATGCGCGTGTCACGCTGATAGCCCTCGCTCGCCATGGCGCGGCGCTTCAAGCAACTACTTCACAACAGAGGTGTTGCACAGTACTGCGTGGACGTAAACTACCAGAAAAACAGGTGCGCAGACGAAAAATCGTTGACGAAATGTCCTATAACCGCTGTAATATGTCGAGGTAGTTGTTTCTGAATGTACTTCTTCATTGCACAAGAAGGGAATTCTATAATTTTTTTTTTCTTGGGTATTTTGACTTCCGACATTTTGCCTTTTCAACAAAATCTTTCGGATTCATAAGTGTAATATTAGTCTGCAAAATATATCTGTTGGTGTCATGTACCTAGATGCCAAATTATTGAAATGAGCCAAACACAGTTGCCAGCTCGGTTGCTTTAAAATGCTAGACTGAAGCTGCCAAAATCTATCAAATAATTGAACTCATGAGAAGAGCACCGTAGAACACTAATAATCGGACTACATTTTCCAATTTGGAACCATATATTCTAGCCCAGTTTAGAAAACGACGTATGTGCCATTAGTTTCCCTATGCACATAAGTTTTTTTCAAGAAGAGCCAGGATTTATAGTTCCAAATTGCAAAATGCAGTCCAATTAAGATTGTTTCTTACCTTTTTTGTAACTTGGGAAATCTGCGTACACAACGAAAGTCATCGAGAGGGGACCGTAGGTCATGAGGTCCTTTTGAATATCTTTTGGATCACGAATCGCATAATATTTCTTTACTAAAAAAAAAAAAAAATTAACAATTAAGTTAGTTGAATTCCACCCATCTCAAAAATGGTTTCTTAATAGTAAAAAAGTTACAGATGAATGGTGAAACTAGGAGGGTATTTCAACTTTAGGACCTGGGTTTCAAAATTTCCGCACGTATTAATTTTTGCGTAATATTTCATAATACATCTGCATGACATTTTCCGGAGAATATTCTTGGAATGGGATAGAGATCGCAATGCGAGGTTTCATTCGGTGTCAATTAATTATAGCTTACTTTAAACGGTATAATATGGCACGCACCAACCACCGGTTTAACGTCATAAACCAAGGTACGAAAATGGAGAGGAATTGGGAAATTTCCTCATTCCTCAAGCGAAATTTAAAAAATCACTAAGTCGACAAAAATTGACGTCATTTCAGCCAAAACAGCAGCAAGCCCGCTCGTTACTTAGCTAGCTTAACATTGCTCAAAGGTAAAGGAAGGCATTCGACAGCAAGCCCTCATTCTTTTTCACAAGACGCCCTTCAGACCCATGTCTAAGCCAGTAGACCCGAGAGGGCCCAAAATTGACAAATCACGATGCACTCCGTGTAATACAGACTCTGAATGAGCAAAATATCGTAGAGTTGAACAATTTTAGGGTATAAGCTCAAAAATGGCCCTGCATGGTCGATTCCCCCTGCTTCATCGATTTATTTTCTATCATCCGAACAATTAATGTCTGGGAGTCCTTTGGATGATCACTGCCAATTCCCTGCTAAAAATGATTAGTAGGCTATTCAGAATTCGCCGACTGAGTAGAATTTCCTACTTATATGAGTAGAAATCCTACTCATATCACTGGAATATTCAACTCATAAGAATAGAAAAGTTCAACTCATATGAATTCAATTTTTTTCATTTTTCAGAAGTGGTGTTTTTGACCAGGAGACACCGACATAGTAGGTATGTAAATTTGAAAAATAAGAAAATTTTGTTCTTATAATTTTTTTGATGCGGTGACTAGTTTCTGAGAAATCGGACACGGTAGATTCAACGCTGAACTCATGTGAGCTCTCTAGTCATAATGAGGCGGCGAAAAGTGAAGAGAGAAATTCTGCTCAAATGAGTTGAATTCTATTCATATAAGTTGAAATTCTAGTCATATGAGTTGAAATTCTATTCATGTGAATTGAAATTCTATTCATATGACTTTGATTTTCTACTCATTTGTACTCATTATTTTTAGCAGGGAATTACGTAGAACAGAGGATTCATGCAATGAGCTCAGGAGCCACTGGATCCCTTTTCTCGGAGCTTCATTTTTGCACTTGCCGTTCTACAGTGGCGATTTTGCGAGCTGGCAACATTACTTTTCCTCCATTTAAATCCATTAAAATTAGCGATTATCGGCGAGACGAGCTGCCTCGTCAAGAATCGATTGTTTTAAATATCTTTAAATGGAAGAATAACGTTGCCAACTTTCAAGAATCGTCACTGGTAATACGACTTTATGAAAACTCTGAGATAGCGCTGCCCGGTACGATTCCGTGTTACAGTTTTCAGAGATTCGACTCACTTTTTCGTTTGTCCTCCTTGAAGGACGACCGGTAGCCTTTGTTGGTGCACTTCTTCTCGCAGAAAGTAACGGGGTAAGGGAGGTCCGTGCATTTGGGGTAAGGACTTTTGTTTTTCTGTTCCCAGTGCTGGCAGGGCTCAAGATTGTAGGGTTGGCAGCCCTCGCTCGAGTTGTAACCACCGCCCGTGACCAGTCCTTTCTTCATGAAAAATTCCCAAGCCAAAGCGGAAAACCTGAAACAATCAATCTGATTAGTCACACCACCTAGAATATTTTTACGGAGAGAGCAGCAGTGACAATTCGTTGGCAAAGTACTAATACTATCTAATACTAGGGAACCCCTAGTATTAGATTAATAGATAATATCCATACCTAAGGTCAAATTCCCAACCACGAATCTTGATTTAAGGCCTTGCAGACTTCTTGTCATGCTTCACAATTTTTGTGGAAATATGTTCGTCGATATCGCTGGCCGCGACGCGGTGCGCAGCGTCCTGGGGGTTGGGCCGTATAGCGGAAAGGGGGCATAGCCCCCTATTGTAAGAATAGAACTTTAAACTTTCTTTCCTCTGTTCATACTTGATGTGACTTAGTGCATTTCTGTCAAAATCGGATTATATAATTATGTTTCCTTTTCGTGCAGTGTAAGAAAATGATTACGCACCCTCCCTTACAGCCCGCTCCACACTTGTAGCAACAAAAAGCGACGTGCTGAGCCGACATTAGACCTTTGAACTTGCCTTTAGAGCCGATGCAGAACCGATCTGTGACCGCTGAACTGCTAGCGACAGCCTGCAAAATGGACACAATTATTTATGAATTTCCTTTATAAGTCGCCCTTTTCATCAACAAATATATTCGGACAGAACTGAAAAAATTCCAAAAAATTAAAACAAGGCACCTATACTTAGAGTCTTGCTCAACAGACGCGATGAAATAATGATTTTTTTTTATTTTATTTTTTTATTTTTTTTATTTTGTAAATACAGAAATGATGATGGCAACGCTTTAATATTACTATTAGTGCACAGTGAGCGTGCTTGTGGCATGTATACATCGATGGTCAAATAGCGAAACCACGTATCTATATTCTAGTGTTTTCAAATTTCCGTTCCTATATATTTTACTTTCTTGAAGAAGAACATGCCAAATTTATAGTTTTTAATTTGTACAGAATATTCTGCTGGCAGAGAAGAAAAAGTAAGGAGGTTTCCAAGAAATTACATGGACTACCTTTCCAATGAAAAATAAAGGATGACAAAGTGTGCAACGTCGCAAACAGAGATACGTCGTTTCGTACTCTTACTTTGGCCACCGACCTACAAAAAAAAATAGGACTGTTCATTTTATCGGCGATTCATGTTACAAGCTCCTCGCGCATATTGCACAGCTGGCTGCTACCCGGGTCAGAGTATCCAAAGTGCCCTCTAATCTGTGCGTATGCAACGCGCACATCCCTGGAACACGTATAGTTGTATCCAGGCGCTATACTATGATTTTTGCGTCACACAGTGGATTGAGTCAAACAATTAGAGGTCGGACATGAAATTTTTTACTAACACAGCAAATTTTGATCTTTAGTCCGTCATATTTTAAATTTCAAGGGATGCAAATAGAAGACAATTTTACGAGGAAACCAATGAAATCACTTTTTGAGCCTCAAAGTCTTGTATAAACGGAGTCATAAGCGTTTAAAGTTTTCAAATTTTGTCCGACCTCTCCCATTGACTCGATCGACTGTGCGTCATTGCGTCACGTCCATCGCCCGGAGGCGGAGGCGCGGGGTGGCGGCTTGTTTCTAAAATTGTGTCACTCCATCAAGCACAATCACTTCATTCTTAAAGTTTTCATCAGTTAATGTTTTGGAGCACTTGCGCTGACATCAAGAACTATTTTATAACCAAGATGAAAACTTGTTGCAAAAAATTGAAAAAGTTAGTAAAACCACAACGTTAAATTACCATGAGGCGAATTTGTTTATTTCTTCCACAAAGTATATGTGTAGGGCGTAAAACTGCACTAGATTCTGGCGATTTTGTAACCTGAGTAATGCATATTATAATTTCAAATGCCCTTTTCTTCAAATCACTTTCCTGGACTGCTCACTCTAATCCACAATTTATTCGTCTTGGCGTGCTTTTCTCCTCAAAATATTTGAAGATCACCTCTAAGTGATCTTTTATCAGTGATCCAATTTTGAGTTTTCGTGGACAAAGGCCCTTTTCCCCATGGACGATCACAAATTGTCATTTCCGCCACGAAAGAACTTGACAACATTTCAATGTTACCAAACCCCTCGCGAATTGTATTTTTACCAAGGGAATGTTGTGTATTTCAAGCCGAAAATCTCACTGATCCCGTACATAAGTCATTAAAATTTCGACCAAAACTGGCACAGGTACATTTTTGTGAAAATTTGAATTATTCGAGTCAACTTTGCAACCTAGGAGTGCAGTTACGTTCCTTTGTCCGAAAAACGACAAAGTAAGTGTGGGTTTTTTTTATTTTTTTGTATTTTTATTTTGTTTTTATTATTTTCTTAAAAAATTGTTTTGCTTTTTTTTGTTTTTTGGTTGGTTTTTTTAAAATTTGTTTATATTTGTTTTTTTTTCTTTGTTCTTTGTTTTTCTTTCTTATTGCGTTTGTTCTTTTGGTTTTTTTTCAATGTTTTTTACACAACTCACCCAGCACGATCCGCAGTTGCTTTGATCCCAGATATCAGCAATCCTTGGGCACCAGTCCTTCCATTTGGACCGCGCGTCGAAAGTAGCCGGGATCTCGGCATCAGACGGCCATGCGGGGTCCGCAGTTTTCAGTGGCGGGTTAGAAGATGAGTTATCTTCCATGGGCAGTTCACCGAGGAGTGATTTGATCATTTCCATGGCCTCCGGAGAGTCCTCAAAATTCCTACCTGCCTGCAGAAAAATTATTTTTATACTTGAGGAAATGGAGGCAGTGGCGAGTCTTGAAAGGTGGCAACCAGTGGCGTGGCGTTGATGATCGATATCGATATTTCCCTATTTAAAGCTGTGCTGAAGAATCGATTATTATGGTGTTCATTGCGAACACCCTGTTTATCAATCCTTTTCCATAGGTTTAAATGGCACATCAATCGATCAATCGCAAAGCACGCCACGCAACTGGTGGCAGCCGTGGGCTTCGTCCATTTTAATGTATGTGAAGCAATCAGGGTGGCATTTAGACGAAAACAATTTATGACACATTGGAAATTTCCTTAAAATATCTCTATAAAGTTTTGAGAGGCAGTGACTTTTTTGAAAATATAAAACATTAATTTCAGGGGTCTGCACATTTGCAAACGCAACCCGAGTTAAAAAAAAATACCCCAAGACGAAAAAAATCCTTTCCTTTTATTTACCTCTAACTTCGTATTTCTTTTCCGCAGTTGTAAAACATGTGTGATAAAATTTGGTGCCTCCGAACAACAATGAGCAACATTTTTAATAATTACCCTCTAAGAAATTAGCATGGGCTGATAATCGACAATGATCAAGATATTTTTTTATCGTGTTTCGTGAATTGAGAAAATTCGTCAAATATTTCGTCAAATATGCATCGGAATATTAAGTTGGAGTCACGCCGACGTGGTTTAATAATTTTGGCCTCCACCTCCTCGCCTTCCGCACTGTGTTTGGCGCAATGCGTGTAGTATTCCCACAGTCTTGAAGGCGCTAATATGCGTTCCACGCCCACCGCAGACCGCACTGTGTTTGGCGCAATGCGTAAAGTATTCATGCAGTCTTGTAGGTGCTAATATGCGTTTTATGCCGACCACCGCCGCGCCGCGGCCGCGCCGAGTTTCCCTCTATGAGAAAGTTGCCACTTTCCCTCTATGAAAATGAATTTGAAAAATCGATTTTTTTACTTAAATTAAAAAAAGGATAGACAGTGTTGCCACAAATTGTGAGAATAGCCTCTGCAAAATGTTGAGATCCCTGGTCGTTTATGTTAACGTAAGCCGACCATAAGCGGATCGAGACTCTTCGAAGGGGGGGGGTTGCAATGGTGTGTAAGGGGGGGTGGGGGTTTCCCATAAAATGGTTGAAATTTGAAAGCATATAATGAGTTTGAGTTCATTTCCGTATAAATAATTGCCCAATATAAGCGTCTTCCTTTCCTCTGTCCTCCGTTCCTTCCTTCTTTCTCCCTTCCATTTCTCCTCCTCCTTTTCTTCGGGCGAACGGGGGAAGGGTAGATGCCCCATACGCCCCCCTCCCTTGGATCCACCTATGAAGAAAAAAAAACCCTTCAGCCTTGAAACGAAAGAAGCTTACCGTCCAAGAACTTTGAATCGAATTGATGTGGTTAATATACTCATCACTAAGGAACGAATCTGACGGGGTAGCTGTCGTCTGCGCAGCAGTAAGGATAAGGCAGAGCACAAAAACGGGGGCACAAGATCTGGGGATCATCTCGGTGTGAACTGACGAATATCAACGGAAATACAAGTGGATGAATACCTCCACTTCACATAGGGGAACGAGAAGACTAAACCTAACTACCACCGGGCGAAAATCTTTTATAATTATAATCCACTTTGATTGTTTGTTTCTTTTTTTTTTTTACTCGAATTTATTCTTGAAACCTCGAACTTCAGATCCCGCAACTTTTCCTTGTGAAATTTTCCTATTTGGTTCGAGCCGGGCACAAGTGGCTCTTGAGGAGACAATCATTATGCAAATGCGTGAAAATCTGAAGCGAGCATTCTAGGAAGTTAGTCTCGGAGTATTATCCCTTAATCCACGGGATATTTGACAAGCACCGTTTTGCGCAAGACAAAAGAAACCACTCGACGAGCTTCTCGAGTATGATCGCGGAACAACACTGCCGTGCTAGGGAAAAACGCCGTATGAGCCTTCTGGCGTTGCCATATTTCCTTTAATAACCAACGAATTCACTAGGAAAATTGTGAATATTTTTCTTCCAATTTTTCAGACGATTTTGTACCCAATTAAATCTAAAATGTCGGAAAATTTTAAGATAAAATACGCATAACTTTCTGCATAAATACAGGTTTTATTCGGGAAAATTTGGCAACCCAGGAATGTTCATACGTTGTTTCTCCTTAGCACGGCAGGACGCCTCTCACTAAATATGACTTGGAAAAAAACAAAATAACTTGAGGGGTGTGTATTTACATGCGAACGTGAAAGGGACAGAAATAGCTCTGGTAACACGATAAAGAAATGTATATTTATTTATACACTCTTTCTTCTCTTCTTGCTAGTATAATACAATACTGTATATGACGCCCTGACTACACTGCCGTGCTAAGGAAGGACGCTGTATGAGCTTTCAGACGTTGCCAAATTTCCTTCGATAAAAACCGAATTTACAAGGAATATGGTGAAAATTTGTTTCCACAATTTTTAGACCATTTCATAAGCAATACAATCTAAAATATCTGAAAATTTCAGAGAAAAATGTGCATGAATGTCGTCAAAAATACATGTTCTATCAAAGGAAATTTGGCAACACTCGAATGTTTACACAGCGTTCTTCCTTATAGCACAGCAGTATAATTTAGGGGCTTGAAGAGCAAGGCGCATAAATGCAGTTTTTGAAAAAAATATATTCATTAAGGTATTCATGATTTCAAGTAAAATTAGTCTTAATGCTTACTCTGTGAAAATTCGCTTCCAAATTCCAATTTTTTAGCATCAAAAAGTGAGTTTTAACTATCTATCCCCCACAAGGATCCAAGGAATTTCGAAACTTCAAACACGTATTTCTCAAAATAGAAAAACTGCCTTTAGGCGCCTTGTCCTCCAAGCCTCTCAATTGTAATTCGTATGATCGTTCATTGAAAACGGAGCCTCGGCAACGAGGAACACAAAATTGAGATACGGTGCCATCAATTGGGAGGGTGTTTTCCGAGAATTTTTGAGTTTAAAACACTCAAAAAGGTCTGGACCCACTGGAGTTTTACGGTATGAGAAGGGCCGCCCAGAGGGTTGGGGGGGATACAAACGGGACTTTGGTCTCGGGGTCTATAGGGGGCAAAATGTCTCTAAGATTTTCCGACCACCGGCAGATTTTAACAGCGGGTTTCTCGAATTCCCCGTTTTTTATCGCTGAACTTGAAGCCGCTGCCAAAGGGTCAATTTGGATTTTTTGGGTGCTCTATGCACTAAATGATGCAGAATCATCCCCTTTAAGCTGTGGTATAATTATCTCATCCCCGCACCCTCTCCTAGAAGATAAAGGTTGTCCTACACTGCGTAAAGTATGTCACAGCTAGTGTTCGGGATCAAGAGACCGTCCGTCTACCAATGCTGTTATCAGCAAGCCATCGGTGAAAGTTATGAATGATGTTTTTAGGGAAGGCTCAGGAAAATTCATTGGACGCGAGTCACTGAAGATATCTCTCTTACGTCATCGGTGAATAATAATTGGTGAGTAATCGGAAAAAGAAATTCCGAGAATCGATGAGTCATCAGTGAAGTGCTTGGTGAGTAATCGGTGAAGTACTCGGTGAGTAATCGGCGAAGTACTCGGTGAGTAATCGGTGAAGTCTTCATTATTGAAGAAGTCATCGGAGAAAAATTGCTGAGAATCGATTAGTCATCGGAGAAGTCTCAATGAAGTCATCGATGAAGTATTCGATGAGTCATACGTTGAGTCATATGTTGAGTCATCCGTTGAGTCATACGTTGAGTCATCCGTTGAGTCATCGAAAACACACAAGTCCAATAATGAAAAACTTTCAAAGTTTCTTACGCGGCGTCCTGTGTCATGATAAATCAGTTAACGCTTGAACGTCACTGAGCAAAAAATATGTAAGAATCTACAAACACAAATTTAAAAAAAAGTACAAAAAATGAGAAATAAAAACGCAAACAACATTCTGCAGATTTATTAAAATGCTCAAGTAGATATCCTCTTTTCCAAAACTCTGTGGATATAGCTTTCCTCAGACCAATAACGGCCACTCGGTTCATAAGAATCACGGAAAATCCTGCAGGAAAAGCAAGAAAAGATGTATGTACCGACGTCATAACGTCCAAGAGACATGACGTCCATGTCGTGTCCTTGCTAATGATAAACATCGAGAAACTTACAGAAATTTCGCTGATTGTTCAAAATATTTGATAATTTCCAGGAATGGTTGAAATGTTGAAGTGCGATGCATAAAAAACACTCCACCGAATAATGGGCACTTCTGAGAGTGTTCAAGTAGTGTGGACACTTTATCTTTTTATTCGTCATGTATTCCTTTGAAGTGGGGGAGGTATTTCCATATACACGATGAACGATGTATTCGCTCTCCAACCACTCTCGGACTATTCACCGAGAAAAACCGTCGCACATTAATGTCCCCGTGATTTTTGCGAACATTTCTTTACTTTTTCGTGAATTCCAGAGGTTAGACCTGCCTCAAAATGAAGGTGGTCATCTTCTTCTTATGCATTTCTGCATATGTGAAGGTTTCCCTCGCCGAGGGTGCTTATTTTCTGTCGGACGATTTCATAAATGATATCAACTCGAAACAGGACCAGTGGAAGGTAAGAACCGTCTCCCCTAGATACCTCATGATTTTGATTTGGTGGTGATTATGGTGCGTTTTTTATTTCTTCACAATAATGGAGCTTGAGCCCCTTCTTTCACAAACAAAAAATAAAAAACAAATGAAAAACAAATATTTAGTAAAGCGATTGAAAATTGCAAATAAACTGATTATTTATGAACTATATTGATGATGAAGCGCTTTAAGAACAGTGAATTGATAGATAAAATCAATCTATTCCTCATTGATATTAAACGGAATTTTTTAGACTATTATTAATGAAAAATCCCTCGGATAAAAAGGATTGTTATGATTTAATACATCATGAGACTTATTTTACTTTAACGCTTGCCTCAGACCGTGTTTCATTATTTTACAGTCGATTACAGAATGGGAGGAAAAAGAAGAAAACCGAAAGAAAAACTTGGGATTTTGGAGAAACACTATATAAGATACATCCATCAGGATCCTATATTTTCACCCCTCCTGTATTTCATATTCTAATTACGAATCCTTTATTTCGCTACATTTTATCGGGCCATAGATTTTGCTTGGCCCTGAGTAAAATTATGAGCTATTATTCATTAAATAAACAACGCCTTTTAGGAAAGGAAGAAAAGAAAAGAATCTCATGATTCATTTTAGTCTCCATTTGCCTTGCCTGCGCCCAAAAAAAAAAAAAAAAAAAAAAAAAAAAAAAAAGTTTTCCATTGGAAAAAGGGCTATTAAAATTTTTCTCGCGTAAGCTAGTTCTCTTCGGTCTTCTTGTCTTTTATCCAGTCGCAAGTTTACTTTAATTTCAACGAAGAGTCCTTCCCAATATTAGACAACGGTTTGAGTAGGTATACCTACATACATGTAGGGCAAGATTTAGGAGATGACCACATGGGCCGCGGATGGCGGCAAATTTTGCAATTTTTTTGATGTAGGTATCAAAAAAAGAGAGAAAAAAATCAGATTCAGAAAATAAATTACAAACTAGAAAAGGCGACGAAATCTCTCATTTCCTGAGAGTAAAAGTATAGTAATTTCTAATTTTGTCGTCTTTCGGTGATACAAGAGACAACATCTTTAATTAGTCAAGTTGAGAGCGAAACCAAACACGCAATTTAACCTGGAACGGAGCGGCGCGGTGCGGCGCGGCGGCGGTCGGCATGTAACACATATTAGCGCCTACAAGACTGCATGAATACTTCTCGCATTGCGTCAAACAGTGCGGTCGCTGGGGTCTGCAGCGGGCGGCATGAAACGCATAGCGCCTACAAGACTGCATGAATACTTCACGCATGGCGTCCAAGACAACGCGTTTAGAGGCGGTCGGTGTGAGACGCACAGCGCCTACATGACTATAGGAATGCTTCACGCATTGCGCCAAACACAGTGCGGTCAGTTAGTTCTTTCAAAATGTTTCATTTCTTATAAATGGAAGGCCTTGTTCACAAGGCCTTCCATTAAGGCCATAGGTTTACGGAACTTAACTTTTGCTGGTAATGTTGACAAGGCTTCGCAAAAAATGTGTCCAACACTAGTAAACGTGTCTCATGCACCCCTCCCCGCTGAACGTTCACTTGATGGTTTTTATTGATGTTTCAAAACGAATGAGAAGGGGGTGGCAAAATACAGGCGGTCCACGGGATAGAGAGGGATAAATGAGAGATAAGCGAGGGGGAAGTGGGTAAAAAATTAATGGAAAGAAGGGGAAAAAGGGATAAAAAAGGGGGAAATGAAACAAATTAAAATAAAATCCAACATAGAGGCTCCACCCGACAGAATGGCCGAGTGTCATTAGTGGGTGTTTTATTTTGGTTTTTTGTTTTTTGTTACCTATTTTTCTGTTGTTACCTGTTGTATGCTAAAACGAGAATCAACTCAATTCAAATTCATCTCCATACCTGCACTCCGAAAAACTTGGTTTCTCCTCGCGGAACGCAGTCTCGACTGAAAATCTCGGATCATAATTAATTTTAACTAGATTTTATTATTCTCTTGCAGGCTGGAAGGAATTTCGATCCGAATACTCCCGAAGAGGACATAAAAGTGCGCTTGGGTGCAATTCTGGACGGGGATGTGAAGCCGAGGGTGAAGACCTTCGATCCAAATTGGCCGGCGGAGACGAAGATCCCGAAGAACTTCGACGCTCGCAAAAGATGGAGAAAACAATGCCCGAGAATTGCCGAAGTCCTCGACCAGGGGAAATGCGGCTCTTGCTGGGTAAAAAAAAAAAAAAAATCAATAACAACGTTCAGCAACATACACTGTTAAAAATGTCCGTAATTGGTGTTCCTCTGTGTTACTTTGTCTTATTTTTTATTAGTGTCAGATCAACCCAAAGGACTTCCTTGCTCAACACAATTTTTTACTTTCTTGCTACCTTAGGGTAGAGAAAATATTGTCATCCTTCAAGGAAGGGGGGGGGGAGTTGACATTTCATCATTTCTAGACGTTTTAAGGTCCCAGGAGTCAAAATAACCATACTTGAAAAAATGTGTGTCCGTCCGTCCGACGTCCCCCAAATCTGTCTACAGCGATATCTCGGAATCTATCTGTTCGATTTCATTCAAAATTTGCAGAGCACACCATATCTTTGGTCTCCTTATACACGTCAAACGATTTTAGGGTACGGTAAAATTTGGGGGGGGGGGCTAGGGGCCAAGGTCCATTCTTAGCAAAATATAAATGAGATGGTGCGTCTGATTGTATGCAAGCACCGGCTTAAAGAGTTAAAGCCTCGAATGCTCGACACGTTGGAACTGAGGAAGGAGACAAAAGAGATGTGACAGAGAAGATGGACGAAAAACTGGACAATCTGTCGATTTTTTGACGTAAGGGCGTATCTGTATTTACACTTGAGCCTCGAAAAGCATTGAGTAGTATGGAGAGTAGGGCTCATGTCGGAATTGAGATGCGCACTAACGTCAGATGAGCAATGAATTTTGAGGACGGACATCGCGTAACAAGAGACAGGCGTGTTGCATGTTCCAAAATTGAAGGCGCTCCCGCTTTCACAAATACACGAGAGCTGTCGCTAGTTGTAGCACCCGAATAAATGAGTAATTACGTAGGAATATTTTTGTGATCTTGCCCTTTTAATACAGCAAAAGTGCCGATCTCAGATGAATTTCAGGCTCTTGTAGATTTTCTAATTAAAAACTTTTGAAATACTGATCCGAGAAAACTTCAATGGATATTTTCACCTATTGCCCATTACCTATCAGTTCCACCTACCTCTCCTTCGAGGATCCCAATTTCTATTGAGTGGATTTGTTAACCCGAAAAACAGAATTAAAAAAAGTCCTAGATTCTTTTTAAAAACTCCTGAAAGAAATTTTAAAAAATATATTTTAAAATTTATTTATTTAACTTGTAAGTTTTCATTGATGGTCTAGGTTTTTATTTCGCTACAGTGCGAGCTAATTGAAAGTAACATTTCCCAACGGAATACAATGTGTAAATGAATTAAATCCAAAGACACTGTATACCAGTGGCGTGCGTACTTTGCGATATATCGAATGATCTACCATTTAAACTAATGGAAAAGGATCGATAAACAGGGTGTTCGCAGCGAACACCTCACTAATCGAATATTTAACATAGGTTTAAATGGCGAAACAATCGATACATCGCAATTCACGCCACGCCACTGTTGTATACTTAGGATTAGCGTGCCTCATAGCTAATTTTGATTTTATGTATCGCTAGGGGGTCCGCCCCCTGGCCGCTACGTGGCCCAACCCCCGAAGGCAGCTTCTTACTTCTCTTCGTCATCCCAGCATACGTCGAGCGTCGAGCGTCTTAAAAATGATTTTATTAGAATAGAGAGGATTTATATTTTATTCATTTTTACATCGCTCCTGTTCAAGGAAATACGTCCAATTTCGCAAACTCGTTTTTGTGATTACAGGCAATCGCCGTGACCCAAGCTTTCACGGACAGGTGGTGCATTATAACGAAAGGAAAACACCAAATGCGTCTGTCGACATCCAACCTTCTCTCTTGTTGCTACTTCTGCGGTTTTGGATGTGGTGGAGGGTAAGATGATCTACTCTTTGGACTGAGGAGAATCAGTGGCGTAGCGATAAATAAAGGGGTTCCCGGGCAACAAAAATATCAAAAAACTCCTCGCGCCCTAGACAAAGAAACTAACATAAAAGAAAATATTGTTAAAATTACATCGTGGCATAAGCATAGGTACAATTTATTGAAATAGCCTCCATGCACGCCGGGCTGGTCGATTTCCTTTGATATTTTTGCAGTGGTGAATGCATAGCTTAAGTGCGCTCCAGCTAGAATTGTATTTAGCAAATGGGTGGTTTTTATACGAGGATTAAAAATAAACAAGAGGTACGGAATAAAAGAAAAGAATATGAACTATGCAAAACGATAATCCGGGTATGGGAACTTGGCTGTCTTGAAAACGCCTTCAAATGCGGCGTGATACCTCACGCATTCCGGAGAGTTCAAATAGTTGTATCATTGCGCCGTAAGAATGTGACGGGAAATAAAAATTGAAATAGCCAGGCTTGTCGAGTTAAGTGAGGCCTCTGGAACGATGGGTGCAAGAACGACTTATACGCTCGGCCTTATCATTCTCGGTTCGCGGGCATCGGCGCGGCGCTAGTTACCCCTCTTCCTTTACTCACTATGGTTTGAATATGCTTTCATTTTGCGTTTATCATGCGTGATTAAAATGATTTATACTTCATATTGCCACCAACATGACTGTTGGGCGTAATAATGGCCTATAAATCGCTTTTTTAAATTTAATATATTCGAGGGTAAAACCAAAATGTATCGCAAAATCTACCCGGCATCCTTAAATAGAAGGGTTAGGTCACCCAAAAACACCAAAACAGGGTACCTGCATAGAAATGTCCGCGTAGTACATCAAAAACAAAACTTTAAATGCGTTTTTCCCAAAACGCAGTTTCCAGTTATAGGCTGTTCTTGGTGCGGTGTCCTCAATTTCAGGAAGTAGTATAAAGCATCATAAAGGAACTGCGCATATTACTAATGCGATGCGCTGCCAAAATTATGCAATCATCTTCCTCCTCTTCCTTCTCCTCCTCCTCCTCCTCTTCCTTCTCCTCCTCCTCCTCCTCCTCCTCTTCCTCCCTTTCTTCTTCTTTTTCTTGTTCTATTAATTTTTCTTCTTCCTCTTTAATTTTTCTTCTTCTTCTTCTTCCTATTTTGATTCTTTTTCCGCTTTTAATGCTCCTTCTTCGTTTCCTTCTTTTAAATCTTCTTCCTCCGTTTCTTTCTCTTTCTCTTCCTCATCTTCCTCTTCCTCTTTTTTTCTTTTATCTTTCTCTTCCTCTTTCTCTTTCTCCTTCTCTTTCTCTTTCTTCTCTTATTCCTCTTTCTCTTCCTCCTCCTCCTCTTCCTCCTCCTCCTCCTCTTCCTCTTCCTCTAGTCCTATTGCTAATCTCTTTCCTCTTCTCATTTTTCTCTTCTTCTCCCTCTTCCTCTTCTTCTCAGTCTTTCTCTTCTTGTTCCTCTTCCTATTCTTCTCCTTTTCCTTCTTCCCTCCTTTTCCTGGTTCCCTCTTCATATCTCCTTCCTCTGCGGGGCTTCTAAAATATATTGCCTCATAGCAGTACGAGACCTGAGCTCGTTGGACTCAAGAATCGCATACTTTTTGCAGATTCCCAGGGATGGCATGGCTGTACGTACAGCGGCATGGATTACCCAGTGGTGGCAACTACAACACAACCGAGGGGTGCCAACCCTACAGCATTCCGTCCCCGTGCAAATATCAAGGCGACGACAGCCCTTACCAACCGTGCACGCCCGTCAAGGAAACCCCTCCGTGTGAATCTCGCTGCACGAATAGCAAATACAGCAAAAGATTGGATAAAGACTACCGTTACGGTGAGATAGAGTATAGTGCCAAACCACGTATCTCCATTGCACTGTTTCAAAATTCCCCCTCTTCTTTTACTTTTCAAAAGGAGAACTAGGCCGACTTTACAAATTGAAATTTCAGCAGAATACTCTGCAAATAGAGGGGAAAAATCAAAGAGGAAGTTTTCAAGAAATGACGTTGATTAGCTCCCCAAAGGAAAAATGACAGGAGGTCTGGAACGTCGCAAACGGAGATACATGGTTTTGCACCTTGCCCCTACGGCCATTGATTTATGCAGGAAAAATAGGAACGATGGGGCTCTTGGATGCCCTAGAATTTGCGTTTTAAAGTACTTTAACCTACATATTAAGTGTTGCGAGAAACACGATTATACCACCGGTTTTCTCAGGAACGAGATCTCAAGCTCAAAAAATCACTCAGACTTGAGGTCGTATTACAGGGGATCCCCGGCGCACAGTGGATCGAGTCAATTAGAGAGGTCGGACATGACATTTTTTACTAAAACTACAAATTTCGATGTTAATTTCGTCACATTTTAAACTTCAAGGGATGCTTCGAGAAGAAAATTTTACGAGGAAACCAATGGAACCACTTTCAGAACCTCAAAGTTTCGTATAAACGGAGTTATAAGCGTTTAAAGTTTCCAAATTTTGTCCGACCTCTCCTATTGACTCGATCCACTGTGCGCCGATATCAAAATTGTCTTAAAATGCTGAGTATAAATAACCAGGCAAGAAGCTGTTTACAGGAAGGAATAGTAATATTAATGATCGTAACAATAAGTGAAGTAATTTTTGGAATCATTTTGCTCACCACAGGTCACGACATGTACGTAGTACCGGATGACGAGAAGTCCATTATGAGAGAAATTTTGGCGTATGGTCCGGTGTCAACGGCTTTTGGTGTCATGGACGATTTTCCAAGCTATAAATCAGGTGCGCCACGCTCAAATTACAACCAGTGCTTCCGATTCCCGGAACTAGTTCCAAATTCCGGACCTTTTGAGATTTTCCTGCATTTTTTCCGGAACTTTTTTTTTTTTTTTTTTTTTTTTTTTTTNCATCTATAGGCACTATTTATTGTCCGAAGACATCAGGGAGTTTGGTAGACATCCATGCTCGGGCTTACAAATTTTCACGGATTAAGGCCGAGCGAATTCTGCTTACAGATCCACTCGTCAGTTCCATGAAAATTTGTCGCCACCACCGGGATTCGAACCCGGGACCTATTGACCTAGAGTCAGACGCGCTAACCACTAGGCCAACCTGGCCGGCTTTCCGGAACTTTTGAAATTCCCGAAATGTTCCGGATCTTTTGCATTCTCCGGAACTTCCTCGGAACTTTTGTAAAATCTAAGAGGAATCCCGGAACTTTTGACGGTCATGGCGTGGGAGAAATTGGAACAAAAAAGTTCCGAATACCGGAACTTTTGCCGAACATGGAATGGGAGCACTGATTAGGACTTTTATTTTAAAGTGCCTGAGGAGTGAGGATCATCAGTATCTTGTCTATTTCAGAAATTAGGATTTCATTTTCATTTAGTGCAATGTGTTTCTGTTACCCGTCTCAAAAAAGGATGCATTATTTCTATTTTTGGCGCGGAGAGCGACCCTGGTAAAAATTGGCAGTAGAATCTGTGTTCCAAAATACCATAGACCTACGGCCGGCTGTAAGATTTCCAATAGCCTCTATAGCCGTCTACACAATTTCTTATGGTCTTTTATAGCCGATGGTGACCAAGCAACTCACAGCCAGGCGATAAAGTGTATGCTAAACGTGACTTATTACGGATGCTAGGACTTAGTGAGTTTTTGGACCACTGCTCTCCTTTTAGGCCGTAGTATTTTGATTTATTTTGCGAGGAAAGCTCCCTACTTTTGATGGATGCCTGCCATTCCTAATATATTAGAGCGCCTTCAGTTTCGTATGATACTGTGCAATACCTCTGGTAGGAAATAGTTGCGTCAAGCGCCGCGCCGTGGCACGCTGCGGCGCGACATGCGGGTAGCCAGCGCGATACGCGCATTGGTGCCTACAAACCTAACAGGGATACTTCACGCATTGCGCAATGCGTGAAGTATCCCTGTTAGGTTTGTAGGCGCCAGTGCGTGCGTCGCCGCTCCGTTATGTGTTAGGCTCTAATATTTAATCTGGCGGAGTCAGCGTTATTCAACTCATGATTTTGAAATGTTTGCACATCCTGTATGGATTATTCTCGTTTTAATTGATGAAAAAAAATATGATTTAAAGGAAAATATAACTTGTGTTTTGTAAATATTAAGGTGGTTCCGTATCAAACTTAATGATTTCCAAAGCGCACGAATTTCTACCATTCTAGCCAAGACCAATTCTAATCGACTCTTTTTCAGGCGTATATGAGCCATCCGCAAGTGCTAAGTTTTTGGGTGGTCATGCGGTGAAGGTACTTGGTTGGGGAGTGGAGAACAAAGTTCCCTATTGGTTGGTGATGAACTCTTGGAACGAATACTGGGGTGACCACGGACTGATTAAAATTAAGAGAAACTCCCCGCGGGTCAAACTGGAGGTCGCGTGCTTAGCTGCCGTACCCAACACGAAGAAAAAAAGCACAGAGGACATGGAAGATCCTGAGGCTGTTGCTGACAGCTCGGTCGAGTCACTGAATGAAGACGAAGAAGTTTAATCGAGACTTATCCAATTATTGGAGACAAACTGGAAAAAGTGTACAAAATTTGAAAAAACAGAAATATAATTATTCCAAAAAAAATTGTAAATTGAAATAAAATGTGTAAAATTTGTAAATTTATTTGAAAATTTTGTATTGCGTCGTTGACAACGAGAAAAGGTCTTTGTTAAATGGACCGCGTCCAGCAGAAAGGAACTAGAGTCCCTTCATAGAGAGAGTTGAGACAACGCGGCTTATGAATGTCACAAACGGGGAATAAAGATTACACAAATCGGACGTTTCGTGTAATCTTTGATCAACCCATTCTCGAATTCCTGTTCCCTCTTTCATTCCATTTGTTCCTTGCCGTATCCCCCCCCCCCCATCTCCGGTCCAATTCCAGGTTAATCTATGCAGTTGGTGAAAATATAATCTTTATTCCCTTTTGTGACACTGCAAAAGTCCAAAATACTTGAGGCAATAGCTGATGTGACTTGGTCCCTTTCTGTTCAACGCGGTCCAAATAATGGTTAAATAATGCGCTTAGAGGCAATATTAATGGCGAAAGTGCGAAATCACGTACCTCCGTTGCGACCAGACTTCCTGTCATACTTTGTGTTTTCATTGGAAAACTACTCAATATAATTTCTTGAAAACTTCCTTGATTTTTTTTCCGCTCGGAGAAAATTCTGCATGGATCTCAATATGTAGCTTACAGGTTCTCTTCGAAAAAGTAAAAAAGAGGAAAAATTTTGAAACATCGCAATGGAGATGGCGGTGATTTTGCAATATAGTCATGGAAATGTCCATTGCAATTAAGCTACTGGTTAAATGTCCAGTTAAACGTTCAAACTTTGAAGATCTACCAAGTTGTGCGTGTGCTTGTCTTGAGACGCGCCCAGAGAGAAAGATAGCGTCTAATGAATCACCATAGAAAGAATAAAAATTGTTCCGCCTCAAGAATTCACCATCAAAATTTACGCAGAATGCATTGAAAAATTTTGAAAATTCCCAAGTTAACTTATAGGAAAAAATCGACGGAAATTTAATTTACGTTAGAATTAGTGAATTCTAATTTCTCGCTCGCGAAAAAGCCAAAATAAATGCAAGTTAAAGCGACCATTGAATACATTTTTTTCTGTTCGATAACTTATCAGTGTTAGGTTTAAAAAAATGATTTCCCTCCTTTAGTTTGCGAAACTTAGAAGCTTCCCAAGAAAAATTTAGCACACAGAAAAAATAATTCCATAGCTGGTTTTATAAGTTTGAACTTAGAATTGATGTATACGGAAACGTGCGCGCGTTTTTCATAATAATGCGATGAATTTGGAAATAGTTAAATTCATCCACAGTATTCTGCTTGATTGTTTAAAATAGAATGCTATCACAATAGTTAGTAAAATATATTATAGAATAAACCCTCACCTTCCGGTCAAAACATCACAAGCGCCATGTGACATTTCAAAATTTTCGCTGCCATTTTATTTTCTCACAGAGAAATTGTTCAACGAAGCTGTCCGAAAACTTCACTGAATTTTCTTTGTGTTGTCGATGAAATTCAGTGAAATTTTCGAACAGATTTAACCAACAATTTCTCTGTAAAAAAAGAAAATGGCGGCGGAAATTTTGAAATGTCGCATGTTGCTAGTGATTGTTTGGCCGAAAGGTGACAATATTTCCTTAGTTTGTTACCCTGTCTAGTTACGTGATGAACATACGTGAAGCAACTATTACTGCTCCTAAGCCGCTAAAGCTGCCTATTCAAGTATTTGAAGGCGCACCGGTCAGAGCACGTGTCGCTACGCTCGACTGCAAATATACGCCGAGCACTGTAAGTGTTATTTCATGAATGTGGTTGAACTATTCGGAACAACTTTTTGATGGCTAATAACGTAACTTGTATCTCGGATACAACTTTTCAAAATTTCCGGGTTAATTTATTTTTTAAAGGGAAAATACACATTATAACATGGAAACAAATTAATAGGTTTAAAAAGTTATCCGATGTTTATTCATTAACCTTGAGAAAATGAAGCTTGAGAGGGAATTGCCATGTCACAAACTGGATGTAATGCTCTTGTACATTCATCATCACTATGCTCTTAAGACATTTGTTGTTAAGTCCATTATCTTTAAATATCGTCAAAAAATCATCCATTCAAACCATTATCAATAAGATTCGTGTTACTATTGTTACAGCGGTTATTTTAGTCGAATTCCGGTCGTTTGGGCTCCTACACTTCCTGCAAAATCCAACAAATTTTACTGCAATACTGGTTTTATTCATAACTTCTTGCAGTTTTATACACTGCCGCCATCTAGAAGAGAATATATGAGCCATTCAGCTGCTTTAAATTTGTTTTATCACACTTTCTGATAGGGTAAGAGAGCCAATGAAACGGATAGACAGATGATGACTGCAGGTTTTATGGAACTCTTTAAGATTGATGCTTTCCTCCAATTTCTTTTATTCATTTTTAATACCAAGGCTTCTGGTAATAATCTACGTATGTTTTATACCTACTCGAATCAATTCTAATATCTGCCGTGGAATAGATCGAATGGGAATCATTTACAAGCCAAAAAGAGGGAAAGAAATAAAAACAATTATATGAATCTTTAAATTAATGTATACTTCTTGTGGTTAAGAAAAACATATGCACATCAGAACAAATAAAATATTGATGGCTAAAGTGCGAGACCACGTATTTTCCGTTTGGAATTTATCCCTTCCTTTATTTTTCCTTTGAATTTTTAGTTAACGTAATTTCCTGAAAACTTCTTTGAATTTGTATGATCAATATTTTTGAGGGAAACATGGGTACATTATGTAAGTGGGACACTCCGATGTTTTGGAGGGTAACCTAAGATTTTGGTTGATCAACCCATTGGCGGGTCCAGCAAATTGGCAACATGGTTTTTCTCCATTTAAACCCATGGAAATGTATCGATGCTCGGAGGGGCAATGCTCTTACAAGAATCGATTATTTAACATAGTTTTAAATTGAGGGAATCCGGTGTTGCCAAATTGCTGGATCCGCCTCTGGATCAACCAGATCGTTCCGCTGCTTCTGACCGAAAGGCAATCAACCAAATGTAACCGAAGAAATGGAAATTTTGAACCGGTACCCAGCCCCAGAGACAAGAGACCTTCCACCAGTATCTTGGCCATTGTGGAAGATTTTACTTCCGGGACTTCAGCATTCTACTACCTACATGGTTTATGTTTAACAACGTGTTGGCAGTTTTGTTTTGCAAACAAGCCGAAAATTGCGGAAAATTACCGAAGTTTGGGAAACTTGTTTGACTCATGACGTCACCCGAAGCTCATAATCCACCATGCAGATAGGTCAACAGCCGAAATTAAGGTGATGACTGTTGCTCCCTTATAATTAGACGTATTTCTATCAAACGGAACTATGTGCATCATGACGTAAGCCCTATGCTACGCGTGTATTCTTAAGGGTCTCAGGGCTCATGTCTTAATGCACATAGTTCCGTTTGATAGAAATACATCCAATTGTACATAAGGAATTGTTGAATCCCCGAAATTAAAAGCTTCCACCTGTCGCCAAGAGGCCAGCGGGGTCTCTTGCCCAGTGGCGTGGCGTGCTTTGCGATGTATCGATTGATTCGCCATTCAAACCTATGAAAAAATATCGATTATCAGGGCGTTCGCAGCGAACACCTTAGTAATCGATTCTTTACCATAGCTTCAAATGGCGATGTATCGATAATCGATCCTTCACGCCACGCCACTGCTTGCCTCTGCCCGGCTTCCACAAAGCTTTTTTGGCTACACTTATTATGAAGATACAATTTATTGTTCGTCTCAAGTTATTGGATCTTGTTCGCACGCTCATGTAGCATTTTCATCCGTTTTCTGCACGTCCAGCGTCATGAAGTACGAGCCATGGCACGAGTACAGCTCCATCTTCTCAGGGACTTTCTTCCGCCTCACAAAATGACAAACTTTGACCAAAATTTTCTTCGCCAAACTCTCCTTGATCTCGTCCTTACTTTTATAATTAACAGAGAAAACCAATGCGTCGAGCGTCTCGCTCTCGCCCAGTTTGAACGTGAGAGTGTCACCGTCCAACTCCGTCGAGATGGACTTGTAGTCTCTACTTAAACCAGCAAGCAACTTCATGAAGAATTCCTCGAATCCCTGCAGCTTATCGAACCTGAAAAATGCGAGAGAACATCCTTCTTATAAACAATGGAGATGTTGCATGTGTGAGGAATTTGCGATTTGACTGTTGTTTCTTTTGTAAAAGTTTGCAAGAAACTCGATGGTGCCACTGGTTTTCCCTGAAATCATCTCCCAAGCTCAAAAAAAGCTCTCAAGTTGAGGCCAAAATGGAGGGGATATCCCACGCTATCCTGAGAATCCACCTCTACATCAAGACGAACTCTCCATGCAAAGATAGGGAGCAAATACATTGACAGGGTTCCCGCCTTGTTTTCAGTTTTGGAGTCCCCAAATAAGGTGGCAGCCCTGTCAACGTATTTGCTCCCTATCTTTGCATGGAGAGATTGTCTTGATGTAGACGTGGACTCTCAGGGTAGGGTAGGATATCCCCTCCATTTTGGCCTCACTTTGAGAGCTTTTTTTGAGCTTGGGAGTTGATTTCGGAGAAAACCAGTGGCACCATCGTGTTTCGCGCGAACTTTTACATAAGATAGAACAGTCAAATCGCAAATCCCTTACACATGCAACATCTCCATTCAGACGCATGTCGAAGAAATTGCTCTGTTATTACAAACTTTTGCTCGCGAGCCAAAAGAGGTGCTGCTACTTAGCGACGGCTGAGACCCAAGTAGTACACTGCCGTGCTAAGGAAAAACGCCGTATGAGCCATCAGGCGTTGCCACATTTTCTTAGATAAAACACGAATTTCCTGGTAAACTCATGAATGTTTTTCTTCCAATTTTTCAGAGAATATTGTTTGTATTTTGATCTAAATTTCTTGAAAATTCCAAAGCAAAAATTCCCTTACTTTTCTGCATATATTAAAATTTTATCGAAGGTTTGGCAACTCTCATATGTTCATATGGCGTTCTTCCTTAGCACAGCAGTACAGCTTAAAATGAATTGTAATTGGACCGAATTCATCAGAAAGGACCAATCCACGTTAAGTTTAAACTCAAAAAAAGAGGTTTGAAATTTTATTCCTGCATAAGGCTCAATGTAAAGAATAAACTTTAACGCCTCTTTTCACATAGTAATCTCTGTTTTTCGACTTTCAGTTTTTGGCAGGAGAAAATGTACGGCTGGTGAAACTCAAAAACATTCTTAACTCAGTTTTTTTCGAAAATTTGGGTTGGCTATTTCCTGATAAACTCGGTCCAATTATATGGTAAAAATATTGGTACTGCACCGAAAAATATGGATTGCTGATTTAACAATTCAATTGTTACAAAAGGTGACTGCAGCGCTGCAAATGTACATTTTACAATACGGGAAAAGTTAATTGGTTAAATTAGCATTTTTTTTGTTGTAAAATCTACATTTTTTTAAACTACAAGATTGTTTTATCTGCAATTTAATTTTTTCCGTGTGCATCGGAGTGTCGCGTATATTGCCTATCTACTGTGAGTGAAGGCACACGGCTCATTAAAATTAATCGCAATAAAATTGAAATAAGTTGCGAATTTTATTCCACTGCACATTTTTTATCTCTCTGACACATGAAACTCACTGTTTGTTCATTGTTTAAAATCGGCATTTATTGACCAAATGATGTGAAAATAATTTGCAATTTTATGGTATGTCAGTTACATTGCAATGAATCGCAATTGGGCTTGGTTGGGCTGAAAGTGGCGTAATTAAAATCCAATTCTGATTGCTTCTTGGTAAACAAAAATAATGGAAACATAACGTAATTGTGATTTATTAAGAGTACACTGGAGAAAAGTGAAGTTGATTTCACATTCATGACGAAAAAAAGTGTGCGAGAACTTTAAAAAATGCTGAATTACCCGCTACGGCAGTTAATTTTACATCTTGACATCGCCAAAGTAACTGCCGTAGCAGTTAATTCAGCGTTTTGTGAGTTCCCGCACATTTTTTTTTACATCTAGAATGTTAAATCAACTTCACTTTTTTTCAGTGTAAATTATTATTTTCATCGCACCGAAATGAAGAAATTATTCACAAATCATTCTCATTTTTTTTTTTTTTTTATTACTATTTTTTATTTATTTATTTTCTGCTGGTTTAATGGCTTCGTGTCAAGCACCTTCAGCCAACTTTAGACAATGTTTAGTGTCCGTAGGCATCTTGGGATCTCCATGCTCCAGGTTTTTAAATTTTTCAGGGACTAGGGCCGAGGAGAATCTGTTTCAGCAGATCTACTCGTCAATTCCGTGAAAATTAGACGCCACCACCTAGATTCGAACCCAGCACCTATTGACCTAGAGTCAGACCCGCTGACCACCAGGCTAACCTGGCCGGCCATTCTCATTTTATTTTATTGCAATTCCTTTGGTTAGGTTCTGATCAATTTTGTTGACGGTATTGTTTTTGGATAACAGATATCGCAGGATTCCTTATCCTTATCCCTCAATCTTGTTCGTTCGGATGCACACTTTTGTGACACCATCGCCAGCCCAGGCCAGTTGACAGTCGAGATGTCTCAACTCTGGGTATAAAGGAACTCTATCGAATATGGTCTATGGAAAAATATCGATTCATTTTCGACACTAAATTGTACGTATTTCTATCAAACGGAACTAAGCGCGAAAGGGGGAGGAAGAGAGAGGGGGGCTTGGATTGGCGGATGTTGCAGACCCGATGCTAGTCCATCCTATACTCGCAATGCTTTTCCATAGCGCTCAGTTCCGTTTGACAGAACGCGCTATCCGGGATTCTAAAATCCTCAAAAGGAACACAATTTGGCGCTTAGTTCTGTTTAACAGAAATACGTCCAATGGACCACTAGATAAGGTACGAATTTCAGCATTCTGATACATGTTTCTTAACAAAAATTTTTACGTAAAACACGATGCACACAACGAAAATTACCGAAATTAACTCCTTACGAAGATATTCAATGATTCTCAATGCGTGAATTCAAACCACCCGCTCATGAAAACTCAATGCTCTACGTGATTCACATCGCCCGCTAAATGTTATCATGACAGTCTCTGCGATATAAAAATCTGGCTACCTCAATCTTGACACTTTGGCTCAGTTATAGCAAATTGCTGATAGTTTGAACAACACATGATGGGAAATGAACATTGCTCGATTGAGAAGCTTGCTGAAACCGTTGTAGTGGGCGATTTGACTCACGTAGAGTTTTGAGTTTCTTGTGAGCGGGCAGTTCAAATTCCTCGTAACCAATGTGAAATAAAAACGTTAATATCTTCGTTAGGAGTTGGTTTCCCTAATTTTCGTTGTGTGAATCGTTTCCTACGTGAAATTCTGGTTAAGAGCCATGTATCAGATCGCTTAAATTCGTACCTTGTCTAGTGGTCCATTATGTTCTTCAAAATTGTCTAACCTGAAAAACCTCCCCGAGACGTTCATATACGACTGCAAGCATTCCTGGATCCGAGCGTAACTCCTGTTCTTCACACTCTCGACGAACACTTCGTATTTTGGTAGAGGCCTCCTCTGGAAGTACCCCGCCACGGCCGACCGCAGAGCCGTTTTCACCTCCTCGTTGGGCACCTTCAACCCGTAACTAATCTTCCCTTCCTTGACGGAGCTCTCCGCGTGGTCGAGAACGAGGAACCCGTGGTGGACCACCAGCGTCCAAAAGGAGTCGAGGCTGTACCTGGCGCCAGCCATGCTCAACTCGAAATCGAAGACGAAGTGCAGAGGAATACCCTCCAAGAGCAGTTTGGTCTGGATCATTGGTATGACCCCGCGTGTCTCGAAGACGTCACTCAAAGCTTTGGCGGTCACCCCAGTCGCAATCCAGTAATCGTTGACCAAGCCCTTCTTCTCCAGGGTATGGATGACGGAATACGGGTTGTACAGAATTTCCTCACCGCCGAAGTAACCTTCAAAGAAAACTCAGGGTCATTGAGGTGTCGTCGGATAAGTTCAGAGACAAGAGACCCTCCACTGGCCTCCTAGCGACAGGTGGAAGCTTTTACTTTCGGGGTTTCAACAATTCCTTATGGACAATGGACCACTAGACAAGGTACGAATTTAACCAATCTGATACATGTTTCTTAACGAGAATTTTACGTAGAACACGATTCTTGTAACGAAAATTACTTAAATCATCTCCTAACAAAGATATTAACGTTCTTATTTCACACTGGTTACGAGGAATTTGAACTGCCCGCTCACAAAAAACTCAAAGCTCTACGTGAGTCAAATCGCGCACTACAACGGTTTCAGCAAGCTTCTCAATCGAGCAATGTTCATTTCCAGCCATGTGTTGTTCAAACTACAAGCAATTTGCTATAGCTGAGCCAAAGCGTCAAGATCGAGGTTGCAAGATTTGTATATCGCAGAGACTGTCATGATAACGTTTAGAGCGCGATGTGAATTACGTAGAGCATTGAGTTTTCATGAGCGGATGGATTGAATTCACGCATCCAGAATCATTAAATACCTTCGTAAGGAGTTGATATCGGTAATTTTTGTTGTGCGCATCGTGTTTTACGTAAAATTTTGATTAAGAAACAAGTATCAAAATGCTGAAATTCGTACCTTGTCTAGTGGTCCATTACTAGGGAGCAACAGTCATCACCCTAGTTTCGGCTGTTGACTTACCTACATGGTCGATGATGAGTTTCGGATGACGTCATGAGCCAAACAAGGTTCCGAAACGTCGGCCATTTTCGGCTTGGTCGCAAAACGAAACTGCCAACACGTTGTTGAACATCAACCATGAAGGTAAGTCAACAGTGGAGTGCTGAAGTCCCGAGAGTAAAAGCTTCCACAATGGCCAAGATAGTAGTGGAGGGTCTCTTGTTTCTGGATAAGTTGCCCAGGCTTGGACTGGCCATAAAGCCAATCTGTCATTGGCAGATATGCCCCCTTTTTTTTGAGTTTACGAATGTAAGTTTATTAAAGTAAAATACATAAAAACAATTAGGCGAGACATATCGCCTTCCTTGCAGTCTAAGAAGGTGCTATAATGTAGTATATATCCCTCTGAAACAACTGGTGGTTAATATAAAATTAACCTGATGACTAGGAAGTCAACTTGCTTTCGCAAAAAAATGAAAATTAAAGCCCCACAATTAAATAGGGGGGGGGGGGCAGATACACCCCCTTGGTCTGCCCAATAGATTAACATTTTCCAAGAAGTATATATTTCTTTCAACATTTAAGAAGAATTCTACAGTGCCCCAGCGTGTTGCTGAAAATCTATTCACCTTTTGCGAAATTTTTAGGGTAAATTTTTCACTTTTTCTTACGAAACAAGGGTTGCATGTGAATTCGTAGTGGTTTTTCACGGGTAACACGGGCCCCCGCCGGGGCCCGGGCCCCGGTACCAGGGACCCAGTACTCCCGCCTTGTGCCGGGCCTGCCTTCATGCAAGCTGGGCTTGTCGATTTCCTTTGACATTTTTGCAGTGGTGAATGCATAGCTGAAGTGCGCTCCAGCTAGAATTGTATTTAGCAAATGGGAGGTTTTTATAGAAGGATTATAATTAAACAAGTGGTTAGAAATGGAAACAAAATAATATGAACTATGCAAAACGATAATCCGGGTATCGGAACTTGGCTGTTTTGAAAACGCCTTCAAATGCGGCGTGATACCTCACGCATTCCGGAGAGTTCAAATAGTTGTATCATTGCGCCGTAAGAATGTGACGGAAGATTTAAATGGAAATAGCCTCCATGCGCGCTGGGCGTGTCGATTTCCTTTGACATTTTTGCAGTGGTGAATGCAAAGCTGAAGTGCGCTCCAGCTGGAATTGGATTTAGCAAATGGGTGGTTTTTCTACGAGGATTAAAAATAAACGAGTGGTACGGAATATAACAAAAGAATATGAACTATGCAAAACGATAATCCGGGTATCGGAACTTGGCTGTTTTGAAAACGCCTTCAAATGCGGCGTGATACCTCACGCGTTCCGGAGAGTTCAAATAGTTGTATCATTGCGCCTTAGAAATGCGATGGAACATTTAAATGGAAATAGCCTTCATGCTCTGCCATATGCTATCATTGAGATGTCGCTCAGTCCATCGAAATTTTCTCAGAATAGTATTCATTATGTAGGCGTAAATTTATAAAAAGTTTGACGGTGTTCAGTAGTATCTTTCTTTGTTAAAAAATTAAACATAAGAGGAAAGCAGATAACGCAAAATACAGTTAGACTGATTCTAGTTAAACCGAAGGCGATTAGGCAACGTTGGGTTGCCGTTACAGTTACGCGGATTCAGATCTATTCCTTTTGACTTTTATATGAATTTAGTTCGAGTGTGACGTATAATAATTTCCAAATTCGTTACTCAAAATGAGTTGTCAAGACGGGACCAGTAGCGTAGCGTGAATTGCGATATATTGATTGTTATGCCATTTAAACCTATGGAAAAAGGTCGATAAATAGGGTGTTCGCAGCGAACACCTTAATAATCGATTCTTTACCATAGGTTTAAATGGCATAACAATCGATATATCGCAATTCACGCCACGCCACTGGACGGGACTATTTTTATTTCGTCGATTACATGCGTGTCGCGTTCGCCTTCAGAACCATCACGCGCTTTTTCTCAAAAGTCTCTAATTCAAATATTTATCATTTTTTCATTACAGATGACTGGATTTGAGCTTTTCTGTTTCATTCCCAGTTCTTAGCTTTATCATCCAGCCATCACCTATGCAATTAATGGCCAGACTTGAAACTGATAGCTCGATCCACTCGATTGTGATAGCGCCGGTAACGTCAAAAAGTCAATATAAGCGTGGGCTGCATGTTTTTAGGCGTCTTTTTCCACCTACGACCCTCGGAGCTTCGCGAAGTCTTTTTTGCTTATCGGCTCCCTGTTTGTGTGACTTCATTTTGTAGAATCTTATGTTTCAACTTTTCAAGATCTCCAACAAATCAATTTCTTTCGGCCCCTCAAAAGTTCTCGTTATTTTTGGTTCCCCACAAAAGTCTACCTTGTTTGTGCCATCTGATGACGTCCATCTGTAGACGCGACAATGTGAAATACAAATGAATGTAATAGCAAACATACCATAATATTCAGTGCTTCATTATACAAAAAAAGGGTACCTGATGGAAAAATCGAGTTACCAGTGATTTAGAGTACCTACTACTTTAACTATTTTTCGTTATACAAAAAAAGGGTACCTGCTTGAAAAAATCGAATTACCGGTGGTTTAGAGTACCTACTACAATTACTATTTCAAGGGGGTGAGAGATTTGATTTTGAAATATGGAATCCCAAAAATTACCTGGACCGGTCCTTAAGAAATGAAGTTAGAAACCCGAGAAACCCGACTACCCGACAAAACCAACTTTAAAGCTCTTCGTTTTGTATGCACGAATAAATAAGCTTTTAGATTCCAAATTATGTCCAACTTCATGACATACTCCACTAAACTGCCGTGCCAGGGGAAAACGCTGTATTAGCCTCTAGACGTTGCCAAATTTCCTTCGACAAATCACGAATTTAAGGATAAATTAGTCGACACTTAACTTTCAATTATTCAGAGAATATTATTCGCAATTTGATTTAAAACGTCTGAAAATTTCGATGAGAAATATTCATGAATTTCCTCAAAATTGAATATTTTCTGAGAGGAAATTTTGCAACATTCGAATGCTCTCATGCGGCGCACAGTGAATCGAACCAATCAAGAAGGTTGGCCATGAAATTTTTGACTAAAACTGCAAATTTTGATGTTTATTTCGTCACTCTTGAAATTTCAAGGAGTGCTTTTAGAGGACAATTTTACGAAGAAACCAGTGAAGTCTTTTTCAAAACCTCAATGCTTTGTATGAACGGAGTCATGAGCTTAAAGTTACTACATTTTGTCCGACTTCTTGAATTGACTCGATCCACTGTGCGGTATTTTCCTTAGCACGGTAGTGTATGCGGTACCTACACACTGAAAAAAAAACTCCCGCCGTGGAAGCCGTACTTACGAGCCATATAGAAATACCGTCCACGTTCCGGGCTCAGAGGCCAAAAATTCCGTGCGTAATACCCGGAGAAATCAAAGCCACGGCTCCAGCACCCGGAAGTTTCGGCCTCTGAGCCCGGAACGGACGGTATGTCTTTAAGAACCGCGTTCATCAGAAAGAAACCAAGCCACATCAGCTATCGCCAAATTTAATTGGGCGATTTAATTTTTTACTCTAAGACGTTTTTGCAAATTTTTGTGCAAGTCTCAGTGAATTTTGTGCATAGTTCGAAGCAAATTCCTGAAAATTTTCAAACAAATCCGCACAAACGTTCCCTTGAAAAAAAATTAAATTTCCCAGTTAAATTTGGCAACAACTGATGCGGCTTGGTTCCTTTCTGTTTAACGCGATCCATATAGCCAGAGACAAGAGACCCTCCACTATAGTATCTTGGCCATGGTGGGAGCTTTTACTTTCGGGACTTCAGCATTCTACCGTTGACTTACCTACATGGTTGATGTTCAACAACGTGCTGGCAGTTTCGTTTTGCAAACAAGCCAAAAATGGCCGACGTTTGGAAAAGTTGTTTGGCTCATGACGTCATCCGCAGCTCATCATCGACCATAAAGGTAAGTCAACAGCCGAAACTGGGTGATGACTGTTGCTCCCTAATAATTGTCCATAAGGAATTGTTGAGACCCCGAAAGTAATTTTTTTTTTTTTTTTTTTTTTTTTTTTTTTTTTTTTTTTTTTTTAGTGGACTTTACTTACCTCGATATCTTTCGCTCATCTCAGAGAAAAGCTTTGGCGAGTACTTGTAACGGCTGATCAGATCCTCAACTTCATTCTCCAGGAACCCGAAGTACCCGAAATAGGAGTCGTAGCTGGAAAAGGGGTACGTCACGTACTTCTGCTGTAGGCCCTCCATGAGGATGTCCTTTGCGATTGGCAGCATACCCATGATGACCGCCTTCTGCATGACCTCCTCGGCCCTAAAGGCCGTGTTCAACGCGGTCTTCAAGAAGTAGGCCATCTGGTCGTAGTACCCGTACTGGAACGCCTGCACGAGAGGACTATCGTAGCCGTCTATCAGGAGCATGACCTTGGACTTGCAACGGTCCTTCAGGTTCTCCATCAAATCCACGATCGCGAACGCCGTTTCAGACTCTGTGCCGTTACCTGCCAAGTTGAATATTAACATAATTATGATTAAAAAAGACACAACTTGTGTGCTTACGTGCGAGAGTCACCAATGCATGCTCAAAATGTCATTATATATTGATGAAAATATATATATTTTATATGTATATATGATTTTTATTTTCAAAACCGCCTAACCGCCTAACCGCCTAACCGCCTAACCGCCTAACCGCCTAACCACCTAACCGCCTATCCGCCTAACCGCCTACCGCTTTCCGCCCGCGAGATGGGCACAGAGCCGGCTCTCTTCTCCTGAGGAAGATTGAAGATATAATGCTATTTTTATTGATTTGACGCGTTCTTTATCGAGTTCTTAATCGAGTTCTTTATTGACGGGAGTTGAGGAAGATACTGTGCACGATATCAAAAGCAGGCAGCTGGTTTGGTATGCACACGTGCGAAGAATGGCATATGGTAGGTTGCCCAGAAAGGTATTTGATTCGATGGCTCCCGGAAAAAGACGGCGTGGGCGTCCAGTAAAAGGTTGACGGGAGGGAGTGGGGGGGGGAGATCAGATGGTGTAATCTGCACGATGGTTTGTATGAGGATCGATTCCGATGGCGATTTGGAGTCGCAGAGCGCTCTAGTGCGCTGAGGTAGCGGCTTTATTTATATATATATATATATATATATATATATATATATACTCTTTATATTTAGTGATTTTTAGATTTGTAATATTTATATATTTTATTGTGCTCGATACTGGATGACCTGACAAACAGGGCTATAAACTAATCGTTCGTGGAAGAATCGTCCAGCACAGAGGGGGTCCGGGGGCCTCTCCAGGGAAATTTTTAAAATTTTAAATCTACTTGGACGCATTATGAAGCTCCCATGGCGGAGATTTCGCATCAGTTTCTGCAGAATAATTACGCCTTTTTTTTACTTTCAGCACAAAATACTTTCGGATTGTTGTATTTAAAACAACTGGAAATTCTTTTCGGAGGGGGGGGGCAGATGATACTATTTTCAATTTTAGGAGAGTCCAAGCCCCCCTGGACTCCCCTTTCCGTCCGTGGCAAGGAAGTTGAGCCATTGAATTCGAGGATTCCCAGACTAGATACTCTTACCACCCGACGACGGAAGAAAATGAAACGCAGTTACTAAAAATATCAATCTATACTAAAAATCTAGAAAACAGATAGAAATCTTTAAAGAAGCAAGAAAAATTCCACACTGCCACCTTTTGCGAAATTTTTAGGGTAAATTTTTCACTTTTCTTTACGAGACAAGGGTTACATGTGAATTCGTAGTGGTTTTTCACCAGTGGCACAGGCCCCTCCTGAGCCCGGGCCCCGGAGCCAGGGACCCAGTATCCCCCCCCCCTTGTGGCGGGCCTGAGCACAATAATTCTACTACGAGCATGGTTATTCTACTATGCTCATCAATAATCTTACCAAAGTCCACGATTCTACTACCGTGGAATCCAATGCCGTGGCGTGAATTGCGATACATCGATTGTTATGCCATTTAAACCGATGGTAAAGAATCGATTATTGAGGTGTTCGCTGCGGACACCCTGTTTATCGATCCTTTTCCATAGGTTTAAATGGCATAATAGTCAATATATCGCAATGGACCACTAGACAAGGTACGAGTTAAAGGATTCTGACACATGTTTCTTAACCAGAATTTCACGTAGAATACGACTCGCGCAACGAAAATTACTAAAACCAACTCCTAGCGAAGATATTAACGTTTTTATTTCACATTGGTTACGAGGAATTTGAACTGCCCGCTCACCAGAAACTCAAACTTCTACGTGAGTCAAATCGCGCACTACAACAGTTTCGGCAATCTTCTCTATCGAGCAATGTTCATTTCCCACCATGTGTTGTTCAAACTATAAACAATTTGCTATAGCTGAGCCAAAGCGTCAAGATTAAGGTTGCCAGATTTTTATATCGCAGAGACTGTCATGATAAACATTTAGCGCGCGATGTGAATCACGTAGAGCATTGAGTTTTCATGAGCGGGTGGTTTGAATTCACGCATCAAGAATCATTAAATATCTTCGTAAGGAGTTGATTTCGGTAATTTTCGTTGTGCGCATCGTGTTCTACGTGAAATTTTGGTTAAGAAACATGTATCAGAATAAAATGAAATATATAATATGAAATTCGTACCTTGTCTAGTGGTCCATTTACGCCACGCCACTGGTGGAATCCCGTGTGACATTACAACCGCGCAACCGTTGAATAACCGTGTTTTTTTTTCTCGGCGTGTCCAACGACCGTCTCACTCCCATTCGTCAACCCGTCCATCGAGCGTCCTAAAAATAGTTTTATTAGAATAGAGAGGACTACCGGCAAGAATTGTGTTGAACTGCTGAGTCTCCGTCGGGTCGAGGACCTTCAGAAGAAACGTAAAATCCTTGTAGAGTCTGCTCATGGTGGATCTGACGCGGTTCAAAGCCTGCACGAAAGTCGTCGAGTCCCGATCCGTGAGATCCACATGCACCACCGGCCATCTGTTCAGGCATGGAAGCAAGTGACACTGTCAACGCTTGCGAAATTACGAAAACTGAAATTTCATCGAGCGCATATATATATATATATATATATATATATTACATTCGAAAGAACTGTTGTTTAACTTTACACTATCATTTAAATGAGATATCGACGGTGAAACTACCAAACCACGTATCTCGTTTGCGGTGCTTAAAAATCTACGCTCACATTTTATTTCTTTGAAGTAGACCAAATCAATATCATTCCTTGAAATTTTCACAGAATTTTCTCCGCACGAAGAGGAAAAATCACAGAAATTTTCAAGACTGGACGTTAAGTAGTTTTTCATTTCAAAAATAAAGCATGACAGGAAGTCTGTGACGTCGCAAACCGAGATACGTGGTTTGGCAGTTTCACCGTCGATATGCATAGGACACGCAACTCGCAACTGCCCGGGTTAACTGGGGCTGGACTAATCCGGGTGATAAAAATTCCGGATATCTACACAGACAGAGAAACCAACACTTGTTACAAATTAATAATGTTGAACGAAGAACATCACATATTTGAAAGGATGATTTTTTCTTTAAAGAACATGCTCCTTCGTCTGAATTGTAAATGGACTAAAACAAAATCAGAGAGTAAGTGTACATGGAAAATTCTGACTAAAATCGGTCAGGCCAGTTGTAGACTGACAAGAACACTTAAGTTCAAGATGTCAGAGCATCGCAAGTCATACACGCCCTTCTATAAAAAAACGTGGGTTTATAAAAAACTTCAAAAAGAAAAAGAAGATGGTACAAAAATCACGATGAGCGCTTTGGCAAAATTTGAGATTTACTCCTTACCTACCTCATAAATCTAGGTAAGACGGTAGGTAAGTAGCGAATCTTTGAGCCTGATTCTTCACGAAATAAATCATGGCACGGACCAAAATTGATACACGTGAGCCATTCCGGTATCATAACATTGCCATGAAACTCGAAATGGCTTTTGTCACGTGTCTGCATCTATAAATTAAGCAGATGCCGTAGCATAATACTTCCTGAACCGAGGAACTTAAATATGCACACATTTTGTAGACAGCTTTCAAGTTAAAAAGTGATTTTCAAAGTTCAGATAACATGAATGAGACTCGATTCTTTGATACTGAAGATAAATTTTCGAGTTCCCTACTGTTTTCAAATAAGAGAAGTTGAGACCCATTTGAAGGAAGTCGTAGAAACCCGTGCTCGCTTCTGATTGGTGCCGGATGACATCATTCGGTTCGACGCTAACCGGGGCGTTTTAAATCTGCGGAAAATTTGCGCTCCTCTCGTGTCTCTCGGTTTCTGAGTTTCTTTTTCGATTTTTTAATGTGCGTACAGGAGTCATGTAATTCAGGACCTGGAAAATGCGAGTTTCCTACTGTTTTCAAGTGAGAGAAGTTGAGATACATTTGAAGGAAGTCGTAGAAACCCGTGCTCGCTTCTAATTGGTGCCGGATGACATCATTCAGTTCGACGCTAACCGAGGCGTTTTAAATCTGCGGAAAATTTGCGCTCCTTGAACTGCGTGTCTCTCGGTTTCTGAGTTTCTTTTTCGATTTTTTAATGTGCGTACAGGAGTCGTGTAATTCAGGACCTGGAAAATGCCTAAAGTGGTCCCAGCTCTCCCAATCATATTACGACTCTATGTACTCCATGGATTTTTATGATCCTAGGGATTTTATCACCAAAAAATCATAAAATTAATCGCAACTTAATTTAAAAATATCGCGATTGTTCCGTAGAGAATTGCTGCTTAAGTTTTGCAGTTAAGGCTCTCTTGCCTATCTCGGTAGTATTGTCGGCCTCCCAAGGTGTAGTGTAGTGGTTGTAGCGCTAGCTCTAAGATCGGGAGGTCCGAGTTCGATTCCCGTCCAGGCGACCCGAGTTTGATGGTCTCAAACAATGGTTGCCTGGGACTGGTTGTACACTCAAAAAACAAGTATGGGAAGAGTGACTTACCGGCCGAGTTATGGATGAGTCATGAAATATAGTTCGTGGAGCCATGATTATAGGTTCACGACAAATAGGGTATAGTAGACGATAAGTCACTTTGGTTAGAAATTATGAATCTCTGAGCCATTTTTTATGGGTCTCAGAGTCATACATTTTTTTGAGTGTAGGGATGCAGGGGGGACAGGACTAACGCGCAAGGATTAGCCCTCGTGGGCTATTTGGATTGCATTTTGCAAAAAGGAACCACTAGCATTGCAATTTTGCTAAGATTGTGCGACTTCTTTTGTCTTGGAGGAAAAACCCGATTATCCATTCATAGTTTCTATTTTACTCGCTAAAAACTGTAAATTTAAGACAAAAATTACCATCTAAATTTCATAGTTTTTCACGATTTCCGCAATTGTATTGCAAAAGATGAAGTTACACAATCTTAGCATCATTGCAATGCTAGTGGTTCCTTTTTGCAAAATGCAACCCATTTGAAGCAGTAAAAAAAAAGCATTGGTACCTGTTTTGGAGATTAACGCAGAAGATCTTGCTGCGGGCGATCTCGCTTCCCGGCTGGAAAAGAGCGGTGGAGTTCTCCGTGAAGTCTAGGAAGTGCCTGAGCATGGAGAGGTTGACGGATTTCCCGAAGCGGCGAGGTCGGGTGATGAGGACGACAGGGACCCGCTCGTGGAGGACGAGTTTGATGAAGAAGCTCTTGTCGACCACGGGTTTTCCGGTTTTCCGCAGCTCCCCGTAGTCATCCTTGCTCAGGGGTGTTTCCGGAGCATGAGCTGATGAAGGGTGGGCGTCGATCATGGCGCCCAGGTTCCCATTTTTCACGCTGTCCATTTCCGGACTAACCTTAAATTCATGTTAGATACAATGGAGATGTTGCATGTTTGAGGGATTTGCGATTTGACTGTTGATTCGTATGTAAAAGTTCGCGAGAAACACGATGGCGCCACTGGTTTCCCCTGAAATCATCTCCCAAGCTCAAAAAAAGCTCTCAAAGTGAGGCCAAAATGGAGGGGATATCCCACCCTACCCTGAGAGTCCACCTCTACATCAAAACGAACTCTCCATGCAAAGATAGGGAGCAAATACATTCGCAGGGTTGCCACTTTATTTGGGGACTCCAAAACTGAAAACACGGCAACCCTGCTAATGTATTTGCTCCCTCTTTTTGCATGGAAAGTTTGTTTTGATGTAGAGGTGGACTCTGAAATCAACTCCCAAGCTCAAAAAAAGCTCTCAAAGTGAGGCCAAAATGGAGGGGATATCCCACCCTACCCTGAGAGTCCACCTCTACATCAAAACGAACTCTCCATGCAAAGATAGGGAGCAAATACATTAGCAGTGATGCCGTGTTTTCAGTTTTGGAGTCCCCAAATAAAGTGGCAACCCTGCTAATGTATTTGCTCCCTGTCTATGTATGGACTGTTTGTTTTGATGTAGAGGCGGACTCTAAGGGCAGGGTGGGATATCCCCTCCATTTTGGCCACACTTTGAGAGCTTTTTTTGAGCTTGGGAGATGATTTCAGAGAAAACCAGTAGCACCATCGTGTTTCTCGCGAACTTTTACATATCAATCAATGGTCAAATTGCAAATCCCTCACACATGCAACATCTCCATTATTGGTTATTCCTAGTTGGGGAGATTATGTTCAGAGACGAGAGACCCTCCACTAGTCTCCCGCAGGGCCGGATTTAGGGGTTGGCCACATGGGCCGCGGGCCATGGCGGCAAATTTAAGAGGCGGCACATCCTGCAATTTTTTTAAATGTAGGTGTAAAAAAAGCCGGATTCAGAAAAAGAATTACAAACGAGAAAAGGTGACATAATCTCTCATTTCCTGAGAGTATATTTCTAATTTTGTCGTCTTTCGGTGATACAAGGGACAGCACCTTTAATTAGTCGAATTATGAGAGAAACCGACCACGCAATTTGGACTGGAACGGCGGAGGAGAAATGATGAAGAGGACTTGAGATGAAAAGGAGAAACCCTCCTTCGGCGCGGCGGCGCGGCACAGCGGTCGGCATGTAACACATATTAGCGCCTACAAGACTGCATGAATACTTCTCGCATTGCGTCAAACAGTGCGGTCGCTGCGCTGCGGTCTGCAGCGGGCGCGGGCGGCGTGAAACACATAGCGCCTACAAGACCGCATGAATACTTCACGCATTGCGTTAAACACAGTGCGTTCAGCAGCGGTCGGCGTCAAACGCATAGCGCATGCAAGACTGTAGGAATACTTTACGCATTGCATCAAACACAGTGTGGTCAGCGCGGCGCGGTGGCGGAAGTTAAAATTATTAAACCAGATTTAAGTTTGTTCTTTCATAATGTTTTCGTTCATTTCTTACAAATGGAAGGCCTCGTCCACGCAGAGATAGATTTACGGAAACGATAGATTTACGGCCTTGTCCACGCAGATTTACGGAACTTAACTTTCGCGAAAAGTTCCATGAACTTTTAAGTAAATCCGGATGGCGCGAAGATCACACTTTTGTGTCATGCCTCGGGTCATATACATGCCGGCGTTTTAATGCCGTCTTGGATTTTGCGGCATGTTACGTTGGGTTCACTGACGAGTCGAGTGTGATCTGATGATGAGGTCTAAAAAGACCCAAATCGGAATAGATCGCCGTGACTTCAACTTAATATTCCAATGCAAACAGCCTGAGCTGAACACTCTCCCCTCCTCAGTTTTGTACCGGTACATATTAGAGTTAAAAACATTCATTTTTGACTCTAATTATAATTATTGGGACTTCTTGGCTTTGATTTCCCCGTGAAATGGCATGGACCCAGCACCATTGCTCCACATCGTTACATTCAGTATTCGGATCACTTCTTAGTCCTTTTTTCCTCATTTACACGAGTCTTTATATATTACGACAGTTTAATTTATGTACATTGCAAAATTTCATAAATATCTTCATTTGCTTATATTTCTTATTTATTGTCAATATTCTTATCTTTAGTTACAAACGACCCGTCATTCTTACAACTATCTCAACACCGTCAATAATCGCACATGTGATTTGGTACTTTCGATTTCAATATGGCTATAGGTATCAGATGGGGAAAGAATTGTAAGCTTTTGGAGTAGGCTTACCATGAGAGGTTGTAAGTGCACGGTTTCATTGGAATCGGAATCGTCTAGCACCAAGAATCCATTCATCTAGAAACACGAGAAAAAAACCAATGAACAGAATTAGATGCATTGTTAAACTTACTAATATATGGCAAGGATTCACAGAATGCAGAGCCAGTCATCATCCGAACTTTTGAAGTTCTCGAATAATGAAAGCTCGTTTCATCTGCGGAAGTTATTATACTAGGCAAAGTTTTGGGTTCAATGGAATCAGATCCATGTTTTAATGAAGCGTTATAACTAATATCAATCCTAGCGATGTAAAATGGAATCCTCAGGGATTGACAAATTTCGACAGAGAACAAGAGGAGAATTTACAACACTGAGACCTCTCTGACAGTGGCTTTTGTGTGAATATGTATATCCGCCTTCTAAAAACATTCAAATTTTTGCGGAGTTCTATCTTTTTTACGTTGCAAGATATGTTGACCAAACTTTTTTTAATTTTTTAGAGCCTTTTCAGAGCAAATATTTGGGGAAAAATATTTGAAATTTAAAGTAACGGATTTTGAAGGATAAGGCTCGAAAAGGGGTGAGGTCAAATCTTGTCCATTCGATTACTTGAGTTGAGTTGAATATTTTAAGCTAAAATTTATATGGGTTTAAGCCCCCCCCCCCCCCCCCCNTGATTGGTTTGGTATTGAATTTGAACGAAATCGGCCCAGCATTTTCAGAATGGCGAGCTTTGAACTTCCATGACGGGCGGGGCAGAGGGCTGTCGCACAGTGCGGGCCAGTGGAAGGACGATTTTGGACAAACTGTTCGTCGCGCAGTGGGTCAAGGGAAGGAAAGTTTTGGACAAACTTTTCGTCGCAAAGTGGGTCAAAGAAGGAAGTTCTTGGAAATACTGATCACGACACAGTGGTTTAAGGTCATTCAATTTTGTGGCGAGGCGCGAGTGATCGATTATCGATATGTCCCCATTTGAAGCTATGGTAAAGAATCGATGATTAAGGCGTTCGTTGCGAATACCCTGTTTATCGATCTTTTTCCATAGGTTTAAATGACAGATCAATCGATATATCGCAAAGCTTGCAAATCTATGACTCCCCCTTCCGCGGAGAATGCGCGGGTCACTAAAAAAGAAGAAACAACTAGATGCGCATGAATCCCTGAAATAACGCAAGGGGGGAGGTTTTGGGGGCGTACAGCGAACTCCCCCTCCCGCCACCCCTAATACGCGGGGCACCGGTTTAGTATCCTCTTGCTTTCGAGCAGGGGGACTTTCTATTAGAAAAAATATGGGTCCGTTCCCCTCTCCTCCAAGGGAGAAGCCTTGAGAATTTTTGGAGGGCAGCTCTCTTTGACCTATAGACGTTCTCCAAATTTCAAATTTGCGCCTCAATTGGGTGAAAAGTTAGAGGCGGTGGAAGGGACTTTTAAATTCTCCTGTATAGTGTCCTTAAGCTAATCTTCACCTCCTATAGGACGTAAATCTTAAATGCAAGGAGTCTTACTTAAAAATTAAGCATTTCACAAACTGGAAAAAAGGACTTCAGCTGTTCTCGCACGAGCTGACGCAATTATAATGGAGAGTTTTCTTATTACGGGGTTTTATTTTCAGGAAATTGCAACTAGATTACATTTTGCAATAAGGAAGCACTATGTAATGTGTGATTAACTTTAGAGCCAACACTTGTGTCATCAGTTTCCCTATGCACTACATCCTTTCATGGATGAGCTTGGCCCAAGCTCCAGGGACGGACTGGCTGGGGTGGCGATGGGGCGATCGCCCCACTTTCATCGGCCAAAATGGGCCCCGGAGGGGCCCCTTTTGGCCGATTTGAAGGGCCGTATTTCGCCGTTTCGAAGAAGCGCCCGAGGGCTTTTTCGGTTCGTCCTCGAGAAAGGGCCCCGAGACTCCTGAGAGGACAGGACACTTTATTGCCGATTCGGAGAGCGCCCTGAAGGAGCTTTTTTATGGCGTTGCATTTTGAGAGCCCTTTTTTCTGATTCGAATAAGTCCAAAGGGGTCCTTTCTTGTCATTTCGGAAGAGCCCTGAAGGACTCATTTATTGCCGATTCGAAGAAGACTCGATGGAGCCTTTTTTT